TCTTTTGAACTCGCACAGCTCTGTGATGCCTCACAAAAAGGTCAGCTGGCTGTGCCGTCCTCCTCCCACACAGTGTGTGTGATGTGTATGTCAAGTCAAATTGAAGTTAATCCCTCACTGGACGTCCATCCTGCTGCGCTGACTTTTAAAAATATGGGGGACAAAGTGCCTGCATAGTGAGTTTATTCCTAAAGGCTCACAATTATAGTGGGGTTGCACATTTTGCACAACAGGTTGTTTCCAAGTGGACGTACATTTAGCCAGAGAGCACAGTTTAATGGTAATGTAAATGGCTGGAGGGATTTTAATTGTGTCCATGTTAGTGTTTCTGCACAATAGAGGCATTTTATTGCCATTAATGAAACACAGTGGTTCTTTATCTGGTCAGCACCAGCTTAGATTTGTTTGTGCTTTTCTACCTACAGTGATGGATAGAAGCTGCCGCTGGGATGTTTCCATGGCAATAAGCAGCCTTGAGAATGACAGACCATTACTAAGTCAAATGAATCCGCAAGCTGTGGCTGTGTTTAGTTTATGTTTCATTTTGCTTTCATCGACAAGTAGTGAATCCTATTGTAGAAAATAAAGAGAGTTGTTCTCGATTCACTTTCATTAACCTAGGCAACAAGCATGCTCACTTTACTGGGTAACCTAAGTCGGATAGATAATAGGGTGGATTTACTGTAGTCTGGAGGGAACTTACAAATACCAAAAAATAATAACTCCACTGATTTTCCCACAGATTTGAGTTTTGATTATTTTTTGAAAAGTTCTAATATAAGTGTGGGAGAATGTAGCAATTACTGTTACTGTTCGTTGCTACTTCATTTGTGTTTATTTTTTACTAATATTGATTAAAGGATTTGTTATTTGTGATCAGTAATGAATTTCTTTCTTTCTTTAGGTGGTTCTAAAGACATTTAAAAATGTCATCACCACCAGGACCTCATCAGATTTTTTTTTAAATAAATGTGAAAAATACTTGTTTGAATGAGTTCTCAGAGTTAATTATTCTGGCAAATAATTAGACATTTGGATTATGTCCACAAATCAGCACAAGCAATTAAATGCAATTGCTCTTTATCATTTTAAAAACGATCACCTCACTAATAAATTGCAATACGTAGTTAATTATCTGCCCTAATTGTTTTTACAAATTACATGAAAACTGCAACCTCTAGCATGAAAAGAAATAGGGTTTGGATGTGTCCTACTGAGTGTAGGTGTGTGTTGACGCAGATAGTGTGTTTGCTGTGATAAAGCACAGCCCTAAGATGAAGGAGTGAGCCACTGTTGCGTTTCAGTTTGACCCCCCCCCCACATGTGCACAGATTTAAAAACTATAGTGATGATGACTTTTGTCTTTTAAATAACAAGTGTAAGATAAAAAAAATAGTGTTTACATATGTCCTACTGAGTCCAACTTCAATACTTATTCATAAATAAACTAAACTTTTTCCTCAATGAACTGTTTTTTTTTTTTCTTTTCATGTTTGTACACGTTGTCTGTTCGCAAGACGGACTAATGGTCTCTGTAGGAACTGGACAGAATAACAAGCCTCCTTCCTGAAGTTGGTCCCCACTGTGGATTTTAAACTGTTACACAGTGTGGGTTTAATAAAAGACAAATGGTAAAGAGGAGGTTTACGATACAGTAGAGGAGAGTTGGTTTTCAGAGCTGTCTCACGAGGCTCATAACAGGAGATAATTGCTCTCCAACGCTGTCTTCAGAGCTCCAACTAATTGGCTATCTTTGAAAGTCTTTTTTCACCTATTGTAGTTCTTGCTGTTAGATACAGCTCGTAAAGCGACAAACACACAAGGTCCGTCCCTTTCGCAAATTAGGTTGCAATCCATTCATCCTGTTAGTAAACGGCTAATTTGCTGACTGCTTGAAGAACGGATGAATTGCTTTGACAACACGTATTAATGGCACACTTATCACAGCTGTCGTCGCTGTAGATTTCAGTGTGGATATTGTTGATTGTTATCAATTCATTTTATTCCTACAACAGCTCCCAAGTGCACAAGGTGGTTTACAGTTCAATCGGATGATTAAACGATAGAAACGTGATTTGTTTTTTCTTGTTGTTTTGACCATGTTGATTGAAGAGATTTGATATGTCGTGTCTTTGTAGTATATTTGTTGAAATCTAAGCCTACAGCAACAGTAGACCGATTTATTACAGAAGACAAATGAGACACAGATAGACTTTTGATTTATAGGCTTTTGATTTATAGGAATGGTTACACAGAGAGAGAGAGAGAGAGAGAGAGAGAGAGAGATCTTAATGGATCTTAGAACCTACAGTAGTGACAGTTGAAGGATTTATGGATATGGAGATTATGAGCTGATTTTAAAATAAGGTTTCAGCAGTGAGACAATAAAACTGGTTTGTGACATTTGTTTGTTGACAACAGCAGTTAAGAAACATAAGTAAATAAATAAAGTAAAAATGTATATTTTTAAAATTAAAAAAAATGAAAAAATGAATTAAATGTTTGTGTTTTATTACTCAACCGAAAAGAACCAAGCTCATATTATTAGTTCACTACTGCAGCTGCAGCACAGAAAAAGAACTAAAGCAAATAAACGTTTCCTTTATGCCAGGTTTTAACTCTGGCCAGTACAGAGTTGAATATATTCAGTGTTAGTTGTGTTTGTCTTCTTGTGGCCAGTGCTGGCCTCAGGGACAGACTGCTATAATGTGGTCTAATTTCAGTGCAATTTAGGGCTCTTCTGCAATTTCTCACCAAATACTGCTTCAAAGTACCAAGTAAAACATCTTTACAAACACTGGATTTTTGTTGCCTGTATTTTCTGTCCTTCTGTCCAAATACTTGGGTCTATGTGTCAAAGATGAAAAAGACAGCTGAATCTTTATTAACAAAAATGTGACACGATGTGGATACATCCACTGTGACACAAAGGGATCTGACAGTTAGTTGAGAATGCAATGTACAGAGGCTACTGCAAGGTTGATGCAGTAAGACAAACTAATTTCATTTTCAATATTTTCTTAAAAAAAAAACTGGTGCTGTTCTGTCAGGAGTCTACATTTGTATTTTTTTCAAAATGTTTGACAAGTATTTCCAATTTGTCCATTTTCCCTGATAAATTATGGAAACAATACCACCTAGGCTTTGTATTAGTTGGAGTCTTCTTGTGCATATGACCAATATTATAATAAGCTGTGGTATAAATCAGCAGTGGGCCTGTAGCTTTCAGATGTTAAAAATGATTTATTGTCATGTCTAAAGTGTTCAACTACCACCAAGTAATGAAGATATAACTTGTTCACATTTTTCCAAAAACAAGTGAATCCATTGGTTACTGATTAATGAATTATTCTACGTGTAAATAACCCCTTAAGCCAGTCTTTGCTGTGGATATGAATTTGCTCATATCCTTTAAATCAGATGACCCTTCGTGGACCCTGTCAGTCAGCCATGGCGAGGCAGCAAATCTGCAGTGGCCTCTGCTGCTCCTCTTGTTTCCCATGGGTGTAATAAAGCACTTGGTCACATGGTGTGACAGGAAACCAATCAGGTGAAGTGATTTGCAGTTGCTGATATCTGATGTGGACGCTCTACACAACAGTCCCCTGATACCATTCAAGGGCTGCACGCTGCGGCGTTAAAAGGTTGCATATGATACCAGATATACTTTATAGAAAGATACATTGTTGTCTTGAGTGCCAAAATAGATCAATACTACGAGGCTGAGGATGAGGCATCCTTTTTAATTATTATTTTTTAATAATAGACAGATTTATGACCAGTATTTCTTATCCTGACGTGAGTTGGATACCACTAAATTTGTTTTCAGACAATGACCTTTTTACTGTGTTTGGCTGGGGCGGATGTTGAAGTTAAGTCTAACTACACTGATAAATCGCCTCAAGGTTATAAACACAGAGGTGGACGCGTTGAAAGCCAAGAGCCGAAAAGAGACCCGGAAGCCAGTTATTTTGTAATATTGCAGCATCATCTTAAAAAAGTGTGCGCCGAAAAGTTCATGTTTGCTCCTGCATTCTAGCGTAGAGCTTTGATGGATTGTTAGACCATTAGTTCTCACCTAAAAGAAAAACACTGTTTTAATTAGGGTTGGGAATCTCTGGGCACCTCAGGGTTATGAGGCCAACAAAAATTATACTGTAATTATGAGATTATTATGCTAATATATGAATACGGGTATTGAAATATATTATTAAATAAACAGACATTTGTATCATGAACATTTAATGGAGCAGAATACCCATCCTGCTATTACGAGACAAAAACAAATGTTTTTTGCATGTTGTTTCTGAATAGCATTAACATATATCTCCCTTGTTAAAAAATAAATTATGGTCAAGAAAAAAAAAATTCAGATGTGTCATGGAGGACACATGATTCCTCAAAAAACAAAACAAAAATAAACACTAACAATTCTAATGTTAAATTATGTAAGGTTGGAGCCCAAAAGTGTCAATAATGAAATTCCTTTATCAAAAATAGTTTTGATCGATGTGTAAAGTATAAAGAATGCATCACATGTTCTAGTGACAATGAATAAGAGTGCAAAACGTGTACTATGATGAAACAGGATCGTTTTTTCTCCCATCCTTACTGACATTAAATGTTAAGTGATTTTTAAATAAAAGGAAGATTCAACTGGATTTCTTTTCCATATTACTAAAATCATCAGTCTAGACCAAAATAATGTATCATAATTTATTAATACTTTCTTTGTGTGAAGTCAGAGTTTATGTGTGGATATTCCCTGACAACCATCAGTCATTCAGTGAATGTACTTTAACACATGTCATTATAGTAAAGGAGGTAAAGTGAGAGCGTTTATTTCGATGATTGCAAACGGACATACTGTATGGGTGAATTTGTGCAAGATTCTGGTTGCAAAAGCCGCCTCCCTTGTTGTAGTGTTCTTTCTGCCTGTGTCATGAGGTCTTTCGTCTGTTGTATAAGTTGCTGATGCACATATGTTTGCTTCCTTCTAGTGTGTGGCGACATCCATGGGCAGTTCTTTGACCTGATGAAACTCTTTGAGGTCGGAGGATCACCGGCTTCTACTCGTTACCTTTTCCTGGGGGACTACGTTGACAGGGGATATTTCAGTATTGAAGTGAGTCCGTGCGCTTGTCCGCGTCGTCACGAGGACCTTATCAAGTGTGACACACACTAAAGCTGTCTTCATTAATGGGAGCTGAGGGTAAATCAGGCTGCAGATATTAACTCTGCTCGATGGCGAATGTCACGGCATATCCCAGGGTTATGTTGAGAGAGGAACTAAATTAGATCCGTAATTTAGTCATTAACTCAAAGCCTACGCCCGTTTCCTTGAACATATTTTGTTTCATAAAACATATTTTATTTACGTGTGCTGTATCTCTCCTCAGATGAAAGGCTTCAAGCAGGATTTATGCCACAAAATGTACCTTATGAATGTTTCATTGTGAGCAGAATTGCTTGTACTATGGTGCACTTTGATACTGACAGTCTGACTTGCTGTTTTCATATATACGACGTTTTGTAACGCTTCCTCACTGTCTCTTTGTTTTCTTCTCTTTTTCAGTGTGTGCTGTACTTGTGGGCCTTAAAGATACTGTACCCCAAAACACTGTTTTTGCTGCGTGGGAACCATGAATGTAGACATTTAACAGAGTATTTCACATTTAAGCAAGAATGTAAGTATTGCCTGTGCCACGTTTACTTTTTTAGACCTTTGAGCTGATTTAAGCAGACTGCTCTACAGCTCTGTATGCACTAAAAGGAGAATTGAGTTATTCTCTGTGAAAAGCTGTTTATTATACATGTAGCTCAGCCACTGACCTCAAACACTCACTTGAAAGTGCCCTCTGGCCTGGTACAGGATACTGCCTTTTTTTCCTTCCTTGATATTTACACATGTCAGAACTATTTCTGTTGGACTCAAACAAGAAAAAAAAATGCATAAAAGTGCTGTGAAATTGTGCTGTTTTTAAAACATGTAAAGGAAGTTTTTTTGGCCCTTTTGAAAGTCCTCTCCATCCCAGACTTGCACACTGTCCCAATGTACGAGATCTGGGTTGTTTAATTTGGCATGTTCTACTTCTCCCTGCCCTGTTTTCTCCCATGACAGGTAGAATTAAGTATTCAGAGAGGGTGTATGACGCATGTATGGACGCCTTCGACTGCCTTCCCTTGGCTGCACTTATGAACCAGCAGTTCCTTTGTGTACATGGAGGACTGTCTCCAGAAATCACAAATCTTGATGACATCAGGAAAGTATGTCAGATTTGAAAGTATTTTCTTTTGATTTTTGCTTTTTAAAGTGCTCTATTTTTGTCTTTGTGCATGTGTGTGTGTGAGTACGAGAGATAGAGAGAGAGAGAGAGACAGCAGATGGCCGTTAGTGGCCATAGATTTACAAATCATTTGTCAAAGGTGGAATCTGTTTCCACTTTGTGTACTTTTATACATCCACGTTGAGTTAATGAAGGAAAGAAATATTCATTTTGGCATGTCGTGTTTTGCCGTGTGTGTAGCAAACCTCCCAGTTCTGTCTCAAACACTCCTCAGGACTTGGACAGGCATGATTGAGAGCAACGCTTGGTTCCTCCCACTCATTAAAAAATGTTGAGGACTTGTATCCTGCCTTCAAACTAATTCAATAGTTCCAAATGGATTTTGTGGCTTCAATTGAAGGGCATGCATAATAGCATTTCCTCTATTGAAGTGTCCATCACTGTACCCATCTGGTAATCCACAAGCTTTTGTTTGAGAAAGAGCCATCCTCAGCTGAAGGCAAATCATTTATGTTCATTGCTCCAAACGAATGGCTGCCAGCACATTTTCTCCTCCTGCAAAAAAATCCTGCCAGGTACTGAAGGATGAGGGCTGTCTCTGGAATGACATTCATTCTGAAGCCTTGATATATTCCTCTCATTTCTCCCTCCAACAGAAGTTAACAACACTTCAGTGAACATGCTAGTCGGAGTCCCAGTTTATTTATGATCATGGTGGCAGCAGGAGCGGCAGCCAGCGTGACTCTGACAGAATGAAGCAACATGCTGAACATGTCCCGCAGTTGTAGGCAAACAACATGTGTAGGTTTTCCAGTCAGGCAGGCTGACGAGTGTGATCACATTGTCCTCCACAGCTAGACAGATTCAAAGAGCCGCCAGCGTATGGGCCCATGTGCGACCTGCTGTGGTCCGACCCCCTGGAGGACTTTGGGAATGAAAAGAGCCAAGAGCATTTTACACACAACACAGTGCGAGGGTGTTCCTACTTCTACAGGTAAGGACGCACAACCATAGTCGCTGTGCTTCAAAAAGCTTGTATTCTCATCTGATGCCTCATTTACTTCTGGAGAAAGTAAATCCATTTCTGATTAAGTCTGGCTTAATATCATCACTGGAAAATATTTCCTTTCAAGTGATTTTCAACACAACACTCATTTTACACGAACGATCGTGTGAATAAAACACAGCTAATCATCAAAGAATGTCAGAAAACAAAAATGCCTTCATCTTGACAGAGAGGCGATGGCTTGAGAAAAGCTTCTTCCAGATTTCCATGAGGACGAGGAGGAGGAGAATACAACCAGTTTTAAGAACACGCTGTACTTTAAAGTCGCAAATGCTCCTCCACCAGTATTTCTGCGACTCACATTAGCCTCAATGGATCCGAGTGAATAAACAAACAGAGGAAGTGCTCGGTGCAGGCATCTTGCACTGTCACAAAATGTAATGAACTGGCACATTACCACAAGGCACACAGTCCTGTCTCTAAATGCTCCCTCCACTCATTACATCCTGACTGATGCTTACTTGGCTTCGCCTGCCTGTGGCAAACGAACAGAAGTTAGAAATGTCCTTAGGGCCCTGATATGCATTCACTCTTTTTATTTTGTGTTACTTTTTTTATTAGCAGGTGTTTCATGAGTGCCGCCTTAATGGTACTTTAATATCCAGACTCTGAAACCGACTGAGCTCTGCTGCTCGGCATGTTCTCCCGTTATTTATGCATCCTGTGTTAGTTAATTAAATATAATTTCTACTCAACCGGTGCCACAGTGTGATGAAAGGTACTGTTATTTCTGACATCATGAAATGTAAAGTGCGAGGCTTTTCCCTCAATAGACTAATGTGTCTAACTTCCTTTTTAACCTTCTATTTGGCCAGAATTACTCGGAAGTCTTTTTTGTCATCAGTCAGATGTTTACTAATTGGCATCACAATGGCCTTTGGGATTTATGGGACACTTTAGGCTAAACAGAGAGTCCTGCTCCTTAATACTGCTGCTCAGAGTCCATCAGTTTCTCTGTGGCTTCTGTCCTGCAGCAGCAAATTTGTTTCCCTCGCAGTGCAGAAATGCTTGTGACTCATTTACAGTCTAACTCACTCAGGAAACTATATGTTTTTTGTTTTTGTTTTTTGGTGGTCTTACCTAATCATCATAGAAGATGTTTTTGGTTATTTGTCATTATTGTTAACATGCAAAGGATTTCCTGCACATCTCTCTGTCAATGGGGCTCAAATACATTTGCCCTGTTGTCAGGCAGATGGAAACAGCATCGACATAATGTATCTTGTCAAGTTCCATATGGCAGGAATTTGCATCTGTCAAGAAGTCTGGCAAAATCAAGCAGTTTTCTTCTCCTTCCTAGCATAATGAAAATCAAAACTTCTCACTGCATATTTAATTCCCTCACAAATACAGCTTTCTCCCAGCAGATGTTTGCTGCATGGCCTCATGTCTACACCATTGTTAATGAATCTCTTGTAACTCCTTCAATTTCACCACCTCCTGATAGATCTTCACAACATTTTCAAATTAAAATGATTTACCTGTGCACCCAGAGTGCTGTCTGATAAGCCTGCTTACTAAAACAAGCCATCCAAATTAAAGTGATTCTCTTATATCATCCTTAATCCAAGCCCCTCCCCACAGCTTTTCCAGAACAACCTCAGAGGCTTCATCATGCTCCAAAAAGTAGTTTAACCAACAACAGATTTTTTTGCACAACTTCTGCTGACAAAAACACTCCAAACGGAGAGCCTTTTGTCAAATTTTGGAAGTTAAAATATATAGTTCTGTTCTGGATTGCAGTGTGTGGGTGGTGTTCATTATTGTGCTCTGATTCTGCCGGGGCGTCAAACTGGGATGACAGAACTTTGCACAATCATCGCCACATTTCTTCACTAAACCACAAAGGGCTGGTCGTTTTAGGGTTGTTTATGCAATCTGATTGTGTGGTTTGTTTTTTAGCATCACTGATCGGAATGACAACACATAAGAAACAAATAACGCTATAATGGAGTGGCCCTGAATTGATTTATCTATTGTCTGTTTCACTGGATACTGAAACACGTCTCGAATTTCCATCCACTTTCACTGCTGTGAAAACTGTAAAGTGACTATTATATCAATCAGGCAGGAGGTTGGAGATGTGAAGGCAAACAACACTTGACTATGGCCTCTGCCAACAGCAAAGGATCCCCACACAATCACTGAGTGCTTGACATATTATGCAGGTCTGTCACTTATTTCCATTGAACAAACAGTAACGCAACTTTACACGTATCAATTATTTTTGAGATTTAAACAACTCACCAAGGAACAGTGTTCAAAATATTTCTGAATTTAAATTTAAACAGTTTGGCACCTTTCCCCAGAGCTATAGTTGGCCCTCATTTAAAGCTTTGGTAAACAACTACTTAGAAGGATTTGAAAATCAACTTTTTTATGAGGACCTTTTGGCCTCAGTGGATTGTGTTGGGTGAGCTTCAATAGAAAGTCATGTTGATTCTTATGGTATTTGAGTGAGATATTCATTGAAGTAGTTGGTAATAGGAGTAATATGTGTAGTTAAAAAGCTTGTCCGTAAGGTAACATCCTAACAGATATAAGTTGTTACTCAACATTCATAGGGAATATATGTATATATATATATAGAGTGAGAGATACAGTATACGCATAGGGGGTGATTTATGCATGGGTGCTAGGCAGTCTCTATGGTTGCTCGTTAATCTCCGTGGGTGCTTCGGGGTCGGAGTACCCGCTAAGCACCTATATATATATATATATATATATACACACACACACATATATACATATATATATACATATACATATATATGCATATATATGTATATGTATATATATATGTATATATGTGTGTGTGTGTATATATATATATATATATATAGGCAGGTGGAGGGGTCGTGATCTCGCCCATTTTTAATTAAAACCTATTGTTTGTGTTCACTTGCTTTCCGAAAGTCTTTTTCCAGATTTTCTGGGATACCCTCTGTACCGAGGAGTACTTCCTCTGTGATTTCTGCAAATACGTTTTTGATTGAGTTTGATTTGAGTTTCTTAATAGACAAGCATGTGTGATGTGTTTTGCGAGTGGATGTTGTCTCAACAGTGTGTGTAGCTGTGTGTTTTTTATTACTAAAGGCAGATGTGAATTTGCTTTAAGCACTGCAACAAATGGGAACATCTTTGTTTAAATCATTGGCTTTTTTAATGAGCTAAATATAAACTCATTTTCGAAAAGAATCAAAGATTTTTTTTATAGCAATCCGTTGTCAGAGGATGAAAGGTTGCCGGATGGAAAATATTACTGTAATTTTACTCCTGGCTTGAAGCTTTTTAGTTTCTCAGCCTGCAGCCTGAACAGATCAACACCAGCCTCCTTTTCAAAATAATTACTGTATTTCCTAAAAGAAGATGAAAAAGCTATGGATCGTGGGTCATACTCACATAATTTTGTCGAAGGTTCTGTCAAAAATAAAATGCTTCATTTGATAGAGCAGGATGCCGCATACACACAGTATTTTTTGCAGTGGAAATGTTACTTTAAAATATTCTCAGTTACTCTATGGACGGAGTCGTAAATTTCCTACTTGTGAAAACGTTTTTCTATAAATCACACAGCCTGCTTTTAGATTTTAGGAGGACGTTAAAGTGGATATGAAAGTTGTAATTTACTGACCAAGCAGTTTTAGTTTTAAAACTAAATTAATCTGAACTGTTTCTCTGAGGATAATTAATGATTCCCTTCACTTTGGGATTTTTTTATTGATCTCTAACCTTTGTTTTCTTCTTCCTAATGTTTGTGTCTCTACTTACAGCTACCCTGCAGTTTGTGAATTTCTACATCACAATAACTTATTATCTATCATCCGGGCCCATGAAGCGCAAGATGCCGGGTAAGTGTTAAAGTACTTCTCCCATCATCTGCCCTCGATCTGTCACACAACAGAGTGATTCAGACGAGAGTATTAAATGAAAACCTTCCTGGATGCTCTGGGTTTTATTATTTTTATACTCAAGCCTGTCTGTTTATTTCAGTTCTGTCTGAACTTTAAGAGAAGTCATGTTAATCCAAGAAATGAAAATGAGTCCAGCTGGAGGAATGGGCTTGTCAGATATGAGATGACTCATTCAGTCAGGAACAATACACCTCTAAAATCCTTTTAGTAGAGTTTGGTTCATAAACAGCCTGATCGGTGGATGCCTCAAACTGATCTGCCTCCCAGTAAGGTTGTTTACCTCCAACTGCGAGGTCACATGGGACATGTCCCCATGTCCCAAGAAAGCTTTTGGTCCCAAGCTACCACCAACCACAGATGTTATCACAGATGTAACATTATTCAGTTCAAAATGTTAGAATGTCTACTTAATAACACTACAATGTATATACAATGTTTAGTTTAGTGCTACGCATTTTTATATAAATAGTCTCTGGATTTATAGTAGATACCAATATCGCACATTGCAGACTTGGCATATTTATATTTGAGCGCTAGCATCACATGACTACGTGAAAGCACACAAAGTGTAACCCTCCAGAGAATATGGACCTCGGCTGATGCATCAGCTCACAAGACAAACAGAGTCAGAATGAAAATAAGTCTCTGTTAACACTGCTGGACCTAATCGTACCCAAGAGGGTGATCATGCATGAGCAATAGCTGAATCAAACCTAGTAAGGATATTTTCTATCCTTCCCTTACGTTTTTACTCTACTTATTTGTTTTATATTTCCAGATATCGCATGTACAGAAAGAGCCAGACTACTGGCTTCCCGTCCCTTATCACCATCTTCTCTGCACCCAATTACTTAGATGTCTACAACAATAAAGGTAAGCGATTATATCTGATAGTGTCTTTTGTTTCATGAACAAAGCAGTAAACCTTTAAAGGTCTTGTTTCTAAGCTATAGGGATCTAATCTGTTCCTACTACAACTACGGCATAGTTGTTTTTTTTTTCAAAGTGATTTTGCTTTTGTTCTGTCAGAGGAGGTACAACTCATGTCTAATTATTGAGATTAAGAATCATTTCATTCCCGTAAGTGATTGGAGCGTCTAAGTGCGACGATAAAAATTCAGTGTATCGATTAAACAAAAAAAACTAGTTGAGTTATCATCCTTCATTAATGAAAATGGAAATGCTGCAGTGGCTGCCAAACACATAATTGGAGCTAATTCTCTGGGTATGGAGAGGGAGGAAAAGATGAGATGGTTTTTATTTAATACATCTGACAAAAAAATATTAGTAATAGCAGGTAATTCATTGGTTTATTATTTGCCTCTCAGTACCTACATCTCACAGTTGTTGGCTTCATTTGATTTGTCATGTTGAACATTTAGCGGCTGATTGATATTCCACTGAAGGAGAGAGCTCTCTTCGATACCCATCATATGAAGTACGAAGCAGACTGTGGTTGGTTCAGTGCACAGACAGAGCTGCCGTGAGATGAAATGGGCACGGAGCCACGGGTTCACTTGGCATCTGGTGGTGCCCTGTGCTGCGCTACGGTGCCCACTCAACAAGATAGGCTGCTCTGTTTGCTGTGAGTCAGCACATTTCCCTGGAGAACAGTCAGAATCTGTTTGGGCTGTGGAGGCCCGTTTGGATGGGGGTGTTGGGTAAACTACAGGAAATGGAAATGGGAAGGAAAGACCGATGGTGCTGGTGCACGCTGTTTTGCAGTTTCTGTTTTGATTAAATGCCATATCAGAGCTGCTGGTATGAGCACATTATGCCTAGTTTTTGGCGCTGTAGTCCTTTTTGCAGGTGTTTTCCCTGATCTGAGATTAGGATTCTGGTTTTCTTTTTTTTATTTTTCCAGTCTCAACGTCCTTCCTCCCTCCTTCTCCCTCTGCACAGTAAATATAGAAGAAACAACGAGGCTACGTGTCCCCGTATGGTTCCTTGTTTATTATTAGGACCCTACTTGTTCCATGCCAACTAATCTTCCAAGGGCTCGCAGTCAACAAAACAATACAAATAAACAAACAAAGTGGTGTCACATGAACAGCGCTTTTGGATTTGGCAGCAGACACCACCATGTGGGAACTTTCTGCACCCTCTGTTTTTAGCTGCAGCTTGTTGACCCACAGTTGATAAAAGGCCTTCCAGTGCAGGCGTGTTTATCAGAAAGTAAAATATTATTCCATGTTTGTTTGTAGTATGTAGTGTCTTCGTTTAGAACAAACATGTGGATCTTGTGTAGAAACCACAGCTGTTTCAGCACTGGGAGATTAAAAATGCCTCACATTTATCTCTAGCAACCAAAGGTAAATATGTCACTGCTTTTAAAACACACACACACAAACACTAACCAATCCTCTATCTGTCCTGTTGATGCTCTTCCAATCAGTCATGTGGGTGGGGTTCACTGGTAGAAGCAAAGCCTCTGTAATGAATTTTTCTGCTCTCAGCTCCTCGCCAGAGCCCTAAGCTTACTGAGCATGTGCCGTGATTGATGGCCAATTGAGCGGGCACATACATTTTTAAACGGAGGAATGAGGCGCCCACTGGTCCCATCAATCTGCTCCTGCGAGTTGGTCAGATCATTAAAGGGGAGGTGGTAAGAAGTGGGGACATAAGGGAAGCCCTCTCTCAGTGAAAGTAAATTAAACTTGTAGCTGAGTCAGGATCATCAACACGTGGTTTTAAAATGCCATTCATTCCACCGTTTTTCTTTCAAAGCAGCTGTTAGTTTAGCAGTCTGGTGCTGAGGAGGTGTCCATCACAACTCTGACCTGTGCAGCTCTTTAGGGAAATCAGAAATGTGGCACTCACACACATTTGTGAGCTAGCAGGGAAGCTGCGGTAAATAAAAGGACTGCAGCAGTGATTTAGCAGTTTGCACTGTTGGGCTTTCACAGCTTACATCCTGAAGTGACTGCAGTGGAAAGAGGGGGCACGGAGAGAAGGGTGGTAGTGCACTTGGCAGTCGTTCACTCTGGAGATTGCTTGCAGTTTTGTATTAATGGAATATTTTCTGCTGCATCATTATTGACTGCTCCACGCCAACAACTGAGTCCTAATGGTTATGAGGGCTGGGATGGAATGAAAAGGAAATGGCTCTGATGTGGTACCAGTACTTTTTTTTTTCTTTTATCTCCTACTCAAAAAAGTGAAGTGTTTCGTAGATGTAAACCTTATATAACTGAATGACAGTGAGGGAGAAGGAGGAAAATGTAAACTTATTTTGTGCAACAGTAAAGAGGAAACAGTAAGGGCAGGACCATTAGTCACGGTTCATTCAGTGGTCAAAGTGGACAATCAGTTTTCTTCTCATTTCCTGCCAGCAGCTCTGTGCTGATTGGTGGCTTGTAGTACAGAGAGGTGATTTGAGGAGAAAGTAAATGTGGTGGCATGATTGGTTTCTGGCCCTTGCATTTGTAGTTGCAATGGTGACGCTAGCACAGAAGGGAATTTTTTTTTTCTTGTCATGGATGAATGGTAGGGTATCTGTGGTTAAGGACACCCATCATTCTATCGTCACACTGGTCATCAATTGGTTTTTCTGTACTTTTTGTAAACATTCACTGGGAAATTGGTAAACATACGCTTCACTGACAACAATGATTCATACTTTAAATAAAGACTTTCCCCTTCATGTATAACACCAGGTTTTTTAGATCTGGGTTCAATCACTCAAACTAGGTTTTCATCATCAAAAATGACAGAGAATAGAGAACAGGTTACAGCCCTGAAAACGTTTGGTTTTTGGGCAACAATGGTGAAAGATGGGAATGTCCTATGGTCAACTGTCCTCTTTGAACCATTGAGTTAAAGTTAACATGCAAAAGTACATGCATCCCTTACTTCTAAAATCATTACCGTTTCGCACAGGATTCACTGGAGCTCACAAATGGCTCCGCCCCTTTTGTATAAAGATCATTAAAATTTCATGTTCAAATCTGAAACCTTCTTTAATGATGAAGACAAGTGAGTGATTTTGAAATACTTCATGCACATCTTGCAGTTTTTGTAATTTCAGATGCATTACTGCTGTCTCCACTTTCCTTTGTGTGTGCAGCATATAACAGTATGTCCCAAACTTGTTATGCTCCTCTTTTGCATGTAGAATGTCGACACATTCACAGCAATTTTTTTTAAAACTTTAATGTAAATACTATAATTCCTAAAAACAAATATTCCCACCATAAGAAGGCCACAACATTAATAACCATAATGCTTTTCCCACTGTGGCACCATTTTATCACTCTCTGAACACAGCAGACTCACGTGATTTGCTGAGGTAGTTTCCATTAAATAAATGTAGGACACTTGACACTTAACTGAACATGGAGGGTGTCTCCATCTGTAGTGGAAAACACACTCAGGTGAACTTTATTCAGAAGACCAGAAGCACAGATTTCAGCATGAATGCAGGATGTTGGGAATCTCCCCCTGATCTCAAAGCAGATGTAACTATCTCTGTTGCCACGGAAACTGGCGGAAAGCACTCCCTTATAAATAATTAATGAGGGCCCAGCCTGGCAATATCTGTGTTACCGTGGCAGCAGGCCTTGGCCTGGCTGCCCCATGAAGCAGCATCGGAACAGTAGAGACATCTAGTGGCGGTCACGCAGGTTTTAAATTTAGCTGGCGTCAAACACAACTCACAGCTGGCTGCCACAAGGGCAGCACCCTGCTGCGTCCTGTGTGAGAAACAACATGTATAATTGCATATAATTTGTATTAATGGGTTTTCAGATCACCACGGAGCAAAGTTCTGCTCTTGCTGCCTTCATCTACATTTTTGATGTAATAATGTGACGAAGACCCAGAGTCCTGACCTTCTTACACAGCAGTCCTCTGAAGACATTCGAAGTGTTCTACAGGGGAGGTTCCTACGTGTCTCCGTTCCTTTAAAGGGAATCTGATTTGAAGAAGCAATGGCAGGGGAGGTGACCTTTTCTCCCATCCTCCGTTTTCCCCTTTGGGATTTCATGACTGCATTCAATCAAGTGCTTGGACGGTGTTTATGCAGTATGTGATGTTTATGCAATGGCTGCCCACGTGTACAATAGCTTTCATAAAACCCGACGCACACGCATAAACACCTACAGCTTGATCTGAGTAGAGTCAAAACAACACTGATTTTTTTTTTATTGGACAGGGTGTTTGTGTTTTGCTGATATTGGTAATAAATTAATTACACACACACACACTCACACTTTCAGTTTCCCTGCAGGAGGTTTTTATTGTTTGTGTTGGAGGAAGTGCAGCGTGGAATGGCAGGAAAATGCACTGTTTTTTTATACCACTATAAATACTGCAGCCTGTGCATTACTTTACCATAATGATTACACGCACACTGACCCCCACCCACACAACCCTCCCTCCACCACACACACACACACCCATCCACTCTCTCTGAGGCAAACCCCTGGTCTGGCTGGACATTCTCTGACCTGGTTTGTGTTGCCACTGAGGTTAGAATTTCTCGGGATGCCAGGTTTGATGACTTGCTATTCCTGACCCAGAGAGGGGCCGGGGCAGGAAAGTCCCCTATGGTGACCCAGGCACGGTGTCCGCTTTCTTTAAAACTGGGCCACCAGGCAGGCCTGGTGCATAAGAGACACAGGCCTCTCTATATACAGCATGGATATATTTGTGTCTGGAGGCTCTCATGTTTTTCTCAGCAGTAGCGTTTACACTTTGCTTAAATCATGACTGAGGTCACAAAGGGCACGGCCTGTATTTGACAGGTGTTTCTCTTTAAACACACAGCCCATCTGACAACATGTAGTTAAAGGAAATACCAATATACACAAGAAAATAACATGATTGCATGGTTTTTTTAGACAACATGTAGAATGGAATTGCGTGACTGGATTTTAAATTCTGACCTAAATATCACATATAAAAAGGACATCATTTAAAATTTGGGTTAATCTTTTAATAAGAAAAAAAATGTAGATGACTAAATGGTGAGAATACTGGTTACTGCATCTTTGCAAAAAAAAGGTGTTTTAGTATTTTATAGTAGCCAAACAGAGTCATTTATAAAATGTTAAATTTAATGTGAACTGTTTAATGTCAACTGTGCTTTTGCATGTACAGTAATCTCTCTGCGATGTACTGAGGGAGTGAACGGAGAACCACGATATAGAGAGGGAACACTATAGTACATTTTCTTCTAAGCATACGGTTGAAATCTCTCTCAAGTTCAACCTTCCACAAAACCAAATGTAAGGTTTAGGTTTTTCGAGGTGTTATGTGTTGAGTTGTGTTTGAAATTTGTTGTCATTGTACTGTTACCAGGCAACCAACACAGGCTGTCTGACAGTGGTAGATTCTGTTTCTCTTTGTTCTTCATTGTGCAAACTGTTGGCTTCATCTCAAGTGGGCACACAGTGGGTTCGTTTTTGTCAAAGAATAAAGATATTTATCCTATATTTTAGCTTTTTTAAAGCAGCAGCACAGTCTTAGTATTTATGTATGGAAAGATCCTTTTAAGAGAGCCTTTGCTGGTCAGCATTTCTCCACCCATTTGCCTGGAGGATGAGAAGATTCCTAATGGTGGTTTTTACCAGCCCTTTCCCTCATTACCTTTGCTTCCTGTCTCTGCCCACTCTCTCTGTTCTTCGACCATCAGAGATTGATGTTTTGTACGTTTTCTAATGAAAAGTGCTCCTGCTAAAGAGACGTAATGCTGAGCCACGTGTTTCTGCTCAGTTAGTCAGGTCAAATGACTGTCACCATTCACTCAAATGGGGCCGTGATCAATACACAGAGGAAGTCCTCATGCTTGGGTGAAAATGAGATCAATTTTTGTTATCGTTTATCATATCTTTCTCTGCGCACACGTTTTGTTTTCATTTTGATGCATGTTCATTATTTTAGGCTCAGCTTACAGACAGTTGGTCAATTGGTTATTTTACCTCCAATGTACTTCTCTTCTGTTAAAGGTAAAAACATTTAAATGCCGATTGGTTTCATGTTGTTCAAAGGTTTTTTTTAAACCATGTTGGTAAAGTTTGCAGTAATACCTCTATATACATACTGTAAAATATACTATGTCTGTGTCTGTATACATGTGTATATATCTATTTATGCACCATATATATGCATGTACTGGTTAAGTACGTGTGTATCCATGCATGTTTATATTTGAGATCCATATATGTTTATATAAATACTTCAAAATAATTAAATAGAGTGTGGTTGTTGTAACAATTTTGATTTATTTTTTTACTGCCCCTCTGCAGCGGCTGTTCTGAAGTATGAGAACAACGTGATGAATATTCGACAGTTCAACTGTTCACCTCATCCTTACTGGCTGCCCAACTTCATGGATGTTTTCACTTGGTCCCTGCCTTTCGTTGGAGAGAAGGGTGAGCAGCTATGGACACAAACTAATTCTAGACATATACCATATAAGAACAAAGGACTAAATTGACATTGTTGTGTCATTTATGCATAGTGTCTTTACTAGCACTTAGTAGATGGTAATCATTGGTTTGGTCAATGCATTGGTTCTTCCATTTGTTACTTTACTAAAAGTAAAATGTCATTGATTATTGATTGATTGATTATCCCTTGCAGTGACTGAGATGCTAGTGAACGTGCTGAGCATCTGTTCCAACGATGAGCTGACGACTGACGAGGAGCTGGATGGTAAGCAGAGCAGACAGACTTCAGATGACACAATTGTTACTGCAGTGTTGCCCAGCTCCTCTAGAGGGAGCTCTTTGCTGTATGGAATCGAAAACACTGTCCATATTTTACACACTCTCACACTCACTCACTGCTCCACCCTGTGTTCAAAGCACATACTGTAGAGCAGGTCTAGATTTAGCTACAGTTAGAGCTGGAGGAGTGAGGGATATTCTATTGAAAAATGCCCAAACCAAAAACTCCTACTCAACAGTGTTCTTCAACATCGATCAGAGGAGGAACTACCCAGAAACTGTCGGACGTTGCATGAGTCAGCTGAATGAATGGATCAATCACACCAGGCTTACAGCAGATGTAATTCTCAGGATGTCAGCCAAGCATGTAAAACTCTGAAAGGCATCTGACTCTAGGAAGGAACACACCAGAAACACCTCACTGCATGTCTCAAATATGCTTTGTATTTCCACATTATTTTACACTCCACATTCCAACAAGTTCCAACAGCTCAGTGATTCATTGTAACATTAAGAACTTTCACAAGTTCCCGTTGTCCCTGAGGCCAAAGCTTATCTACAATGACATGATCACTGTGACTCCGCCTGTCCCTGCATTTCCTGCAGAAAAGGAAATGATTTCACCACTTCTTCCTCCCTGTGCTCCTTATCCTGCCTTTTTCCCCACGGCTTTTGCATTTTGATCCTATGAACAGAACCAAGGGCTGAGGTCTAAATATATCTGATTATACATACATATATATATCTATTTATAACTTTAACATTACATTTAAGTAAATCGTAATTGTCAGAACTGCAAAAACTACAAATGCAGATAAGTCTGCTGAACAGTCTGGTGGTCTGTTTGGCTGGGTCTTAAATGTGTGGAAATCTTACGTTAGGTACAGTAGTATATAGTAGGTAATAGATAGAAAAATAAAAAAGTTAAGATCCAGGAATCTGTGGAGACATTTTAAATGCTACTTAATTATTACTTTAATACACCATACAAATTTTGAAGTAGTAGTAGCAGCAGCAGCAGCAGCAGCAGCAGCAGTAGCAGTAGTAGTAGTAGTAGTTTGAATACATATTTGAAATGAGACAGAACTAATGCTCTATCGTAGCTGTCTCGTCACTTTCCTCTGAATTATCCTTTGCTTTTAGTCGATCCATTTCCTGGCTCTCGCTCTTGTGTCTCCTCATTTCTTTGTTTGGGTTTTGCAGCTGTCTCCGCCTCTCTTATATATTTAGTTAATTCTGAGTGTGTTGACTCTGGATTAGTTCTTTCCTCTATCCCTCTCATTTCTGATCTTGTGATCTCCCTCTCTGTGCCCTCGTAATCTCCAATTTGATTTTTGTTGCCCTGCTCTTTATCTGCCTTTGTTTCTATGGTTTGTGGTGGTATTTTAAAAACCTCACTACATTTGTTTTCCATATTTTTCTTTTGCATCCTCTCTCATTTCTCTCTCACACTCGCTCTGTATTTCTATCTCTGTCTTCCTCATGCTGTGATCTAACTACTTTGGTTTTACCTCATCTAATTTCTCTTTTCTATGTTTTCCAGAGTTTTTGTGTTCAAGGCATCGCTTCTCTTTACACTTGTGTTTTGTTGCCTCCCTTTTTCATTTGCCACCTCCTTTTCCGCCTCCTCTTTCATTCTGCAGCCATCCACTGATCACTCTGTCCTTTCTCTTCTCTCTTATCTTCTCCTCTGGGGGTGTTTTCATGAGAAGGACAGCTAATATATCCCCCCAAAAAAGGTACAAATTCTGGCCACACCGGTGTGTACTGCAGTCAATCGACTTTCGTCCAGTGCTTGCTCTTTATGCTAACATCACTGCTTAAAGACCCTCCTAACACTTTTGTTTTATTGTTGTTGTTTTTTTTAATTTTCCTAAACAAACACTTTTTTCTCTTCTTTGAATAAATCACTGAATAAAATCAGTGATGAAACAGTTTTATATAGTAAATGTAGGTTTCCGTCCTTTGGGCACACGTGTTCGTTTACACCGTGTTACACAGATTAGTGGGAGACTGTAACAAGACATCAGACTGTCAGCTCATCCCTCTGTCCAACGTCTCACCACTCAATCAGTTCCATCCTTCATACTTCATGCATTCTTCCATACTGCCTCCCCAGGGCCTTTACATGTGTCTCAGCAGAGCGATCCTGTTTGAGTCTACACTACCAAAACACAAAGCAGGAAAATTTCACGTAGTGTGTGCTCATCAGACACGTCTGGATCAGCACCAGGCTGTTTACGGTTCATGTCATAGAAATGTCAAAGAAAATGTTTGGAGACAACGTGGTGAAAATTCTGTGTAGGATTTCTAATAAAAATCAGTTCAGATGTTTTAGTGGTAAAATGACAGTAGCATGACTGCACTGAATGTTTACAGTGGTGACGTGTGGGTCCAGAATTTTGGTTTTAATCTGAACTCCAGGCTTCAATAACAACATTGTGTTTGCATCGTGGTCTACTGATGCACTTTTGGATTCAACTAATAGTGAAACAAACGTGAGATCAAGAACACGCTAACTGTACAGTAAGGTACTGTAAGTGTTGTCTCAGTGACACTCAGTCAGACTGTGTCCATCTCTTGCAGGTGCCACCGCCTCTGCCCGTAAGGAAGTCATACGCAACAAGATTCGTGCCATTGGAAAGATGGCCAGAGTCTTCTCTGTGCTCAGGTAGGATAAGGTCATGTAACGGATTGGCTCATACATTTTCTTTCACAGATATTATTCAGTAGAATATCTTTTGGGAATACGAGTCGCTGGATCGTCACGTTTCACTAATATTCAGTAGAATATCTTTTGGGAATACAAGTCGCTGGATCGTCACGTTTCACTATTTTTATTTTTGTTAACTTTTTTTTTTTTTACTTTTTGCCGAACGCTCAGTTCTAGCTGCTTACATTTTTTCCTCCATGCCACAGAGAGGAGAGTGAGAGTGTGCTGACACTGAAGGGTCTGACCCCGACTGGCATGCTTCCATGCGGGGTTCTGGCTGGTGGCAAAGAGAAGCTACAAAATGGTGAGAGAGACATTATGTCCTTTAGTGTCCAAAACACGATAAATACACACAGACACGCAACCTCCTCCTACCACAACAGAGTTAGTAACAAGCTACAGTATCTCTGTGTTTAGGGAAAACTCTGTATGCCATTGTCTTCAGCTTCAGCTCCACGATAGTCCTGGGATTTTAAACTGCTGCCTCGGAGAAGAGTAAACTTAGTTAATTGTTTACCGCAGCATCAGTCAGTATGTTTTCTACACTTTATTTAAACACCACTAATGGGTAGCAGCTGCTAAGCCGTTTCCTTCTACACTTTCGTATCATTAAAGTGATGTTTTTACCCTAAAGTAATGACCAGAGAACTACTGTTTCTATACGTGATGCAACAGATGTATTTGTTCCAGCGTCTTCTCGTGTGTCTCCCTCTCGATGTCGCTCACTGAAGCACTGCCTCCCCTCCCTGCTTTTTTTGTACAGCCATGACTTACTATCTTACACGTTACCTGTATTTTTTTTTTCTTTCTCTTTTCTCCCTAGAAACCGCAGGTATATTCGGTTGTGCAAGTATTTTTGTGGATTTTCTTTTGTTCTTTGCTGTCTGTTAAATGACTTAAGAGCTCAGTTCACCCTCTCATGCTGCATTGCCAACAATGGAATCAAGCTGCTGTAGCAGGAAATTACAAATCTCATTCAAATTTAGTTTCTCATCCGGTAGAAATGGACACTCGACTGTCCAACATTTAGAGCTCATGAGTCGGAGCAGTCATTGTCAGGACACACGTGGGACCTTGTGATTCAAAGGATGAACTGGAATTGACACAAGCCACTGTGAATGAAAGGGGGCTCAGGTGCCATCTGCCACTTCATTCACAACATCATGCAGAAATCCAACTTCCCTCTCCTCTCACGGGTTCTCACAAAACATCAGCCAGCACTTTAACACCTGTAACTTCATAAATCCTTAGTTAGTTTCCTCGTCATTATACATCTAGTCAGTTATACTACTTTGTACTCCTGCATTAAAACAACACCGGTGATAGACAACTATTACAGCCACAAAAAGGGCGACCAAGAGGAAAACCACATTATAAGCAGAGACAACTATTACAGCCACAAAAAGGGCCACCAAGAGGAAAACCACTTTATAAGCAGTGTATATTTTGTAATATTTAGTCCACAAGAATAATATAAGAGCAATGTAAGTCAAATATATTACTGTAACATGCTAACAAGTGGAACACATTTCCAATTTTATTTTGTATTGCATCACTACATCCATCCAACTTCCTTTTTGCTTCTAGAAAATTCTGCCAGCAAACGTCGTCTTCAGTTCAGTTCCAGTTGAACTTTTCAGTGACGCAGTAGCGGCGTTCAGTTGAAGACTGTGCTTCTTCTGGCTGGAGATTATATGGGGTCCTAACAGGATATATATAGTTTACTTTATGTTGCCGGGCAAGCCAAACTACTAAAAGAAAACATGACTTAACCACTGACCATTTGGAAGTTAAATTCTATTTTGAGGTTACATAGTAATGGTCCTCAAGTCTTTTCATGTTTAACACTTGGCTCCATCAGGTGAGGCCCAGTGTGTGGACCACAGACCAGTGTGTGTCATTGGAAAAGTTCCTGACTGGTTTTCTTTTTTCTTTTCTTTTTTTTTTTTATGATCATCCAAAACCAGTTACTTTTCCTTTCGGTGGTAGTTGTTCCACCCACAGTCTTTGTCTTAGACCCACAACAAAAAAAACAAAAACAAAACAGTTTCAGTCAAATGTAGGTTCCAAAAAAAAAAAAAATATATATATATATATATATATATATACATTTACCTCCACAGGAACTAAAACCCCACTAGTCGCTCAGAGTTTGTGCTTTCTTCACTTTAATTCACCCGGTCCTGAGGATTAACAGGCATGTGTATGGATGGTAGAGAGTAATCTGTGGGAGCAGCTGACACTGGAGAGAACCTCAGTGAAGGCAGAGTGATGTTCAGTGATTCCTGTTGCAGCATTGGTAGAATCACATTGCCCCCAGTCCATGGTTACAGACATCAGTGTGCTTCTACTCTATGTTGTTCTGTAGTATTGTTACTCTCATGTGTGCGTGTGTGTGTATGTGTCTTCTCATCCTCATGGCCCAGTGTTATTAGCTGTTATAACATATAACTGGTAAGTGATTTTGATAAAACAGGCTTCTCTCCCTTTGCTGTCAGAAGAATCAAATCAAAGCGTTTCAGTTGCTTCTTTGTGCAGTGGTTACATTGCTTTCTATTATCCCTGACGACTGCCTCAGGTTTCCATTTTTCCTCATGTTATAAAAGCCACACCCTGACATACACTGAAACTGTATCTATGTATATTGATAGATTTGATTTGAGCTTCGTCATTATGTGTTTGCTGTTTGTGTTCATTCCTGCAGAATTCATCTCATTTATTAACAAGTTAAAGATCATATTTATAAGGTTTTTGGTTTTGTTTTCATGCCATAAATGTGTCACCATCTCTAAGTTCAAATACGGTTCATTTCTCCTCCTCCTCCTCCTCCTCACCTCCTCCTTCTTCCTGTCTCTGCTAACACCCATGTGTCCATTGTCATATAATGTGGAGACGGTACATTAACCTGTGTTGTCAGCATTGGCTGCTGTCTTTGCTGCTCATTGACTTGATCCTGGGACAAAAGTGAACTCTCCTGCTCACCTCTCTCATTCGTTTTGCAACCCCCCTCTTCTTCTCTTCAGCTACTATTGAAGCTATTGAGGCTGACGAAGGTAAATGGGTCTGGCCGCCCTCTTCTGTTGCTTCTCATAGCAATAGATAGGGGGCACCACTGGGTTTTCTCATCCATCTTGCTGGTGCTTGAATAGAGTGTGTTGGGTGTTTGGGCTAACAAATTGTGGTGTAGGTGTAGAAAACAGAGGGCAAAAGAAGTAAGTAATTAGGGAAAATATGTGGTCACACACGTTTTAAAGGGGACTGGTTTTCAGAGCACAGATTTCAGTATCACATACTGTGATTTTGAGTGAGTGCAGAGCAAACACTACAATATGTGTATTACAAAAAAAAGATTACTACTAAATTTTTCCAAAATTGTACTTGCAATTGTAGATTTCTACATTTTTTATTGATTCAAATTTCTAAAAATTAAGAATGTTTCATAAAATACAGATTTACAATGACATACTATACCATGTACTATATAAATTTCAAAGGTTACAGTTGGAGTGATTTCATAAAGTCAACCATAAAGTAGACAGACATGTGCATAGTCACTTCAGCTTATCAACTAGTACTTGTTTATATCCTTATAAAAATCACTTATCTTTAGAATCAGATTGCATATAATAAATTGGCCATATCCATTATTTCAAGGTATATGTAGATGTCAGTGTTTGGTTTAATACCAGTTTTAACACTGATGTTGTTGAAGTCATTCAGCCTACCTTGGACAGCGCGCTGCCCTCACACAAAGCAGTGATGCCTTGCTATGAAATCTTCTTATCATGTGTCCCCTTTAAAACCACTGAAGCAGTTGTGTATTGTTGTTGCAGTTCTGTGATTGAAACTAGATGTAAATCGTACAACAATGGTCCACAATAGAATCCAAATTGGATTCTTTAAAAAAAACAAACAAACAAAAAAAATTCCAGCTGACAACACCTTTAACGCAAGAACAATCTCAACTGCGAGCTAAATAGTAGTGTGCTAGCTGCTATTTAGGTGGGGGAAAAATTGTCCCATACTTCCTCTTTAGCTTTATAGAGGACAGTCTATTGTAGTGTCGATACATTTCTCTCTGCTTCTTCTCTCCATGTGGATCTTCTGTGGCCCTGCTGTGTCGTGTTCTTTTCTGTGAGCTGCTAATAACCTGTGTCTGACCTGTGCTATGCAGCAACACAACAACGCCACCCACCATGCCCCTTGTCACATTACTCAGTTTGTCCTCAAAAAGTGAAACACCACCGTCCCCACCTCACGTTATAGTGAACGGCCATCTTTTCTTCGACCACAGTTTTTGATCAGCATCAAGATCGCAGCCTTTATGAAAGGTGGAAGTAACAAATTTGTAGCATTTGGCCATATGAAAATTGATTTTCTTTGGGAACGGTACATTTATGTAGATGCTGTAAAAGGAAGTCATTCTGACCTGATTTTATTTCAATGACCTACAGTACCTATTTTTCCACTCTATGATTTCACTGTTCAGTTTGGTGTAATTTGACAGTGTTTGTATTTATAAAAACAAGGCTACATCCACATTACCATGTCTTTACAATAATTTTAAATAATGACATTTGTAAATATTGTTGTTGCCACTTTAGCATTTGTACTTCTGGATAAGTGGCAAAATATATTATAACTCAGTCTGATTAAATGACAAGGATACAATTATCTGCGTGTTGAAGGAATATAGTAGGAAATTAGTTTGGGAATTTACTCAAAAGGTAATTAAGAAAAACAGCAATTTTAGCCAAACAGCTAAATATTTACTAAATTCAGGAAAATACCCCAAAAGTACAATTTTAACTGGCCACAGGAAAATACCCCAAAAGTACAATTTTGCATATGGCTTTGCATATGGCTCATACTGCAAATCCAAAAAGAAAAATATTAGCCAAACATTGCTTAAATACTTGACAAAAAACTTTTAAATGTTATCTCAGGGAGAAGGTTAAGCAGAACAACACAAAGCATAAATGTATGTCCGATTCTAAAAATAGCTGAAGATAACTCTCGAAAACTAGAAAAAAAAAAACTAAAACTAGAAAACTTAAAAGTTAACCAAAGGGAAGTCAGGAGATAATTTACGTAGCACAGATAGCTTCAAGTAGAGGAAAAACTATTGTAACTGTTGCCAACTGTTACTTTAGCATTCAAGATTTTGAAATAGCACAGGAAACTCCATCACGTCTAGACAGATAAGAAGCTAACTGCTAACAGTGGATGTACAGATTGAAATACCAAGATAGACATTTGCCTGGTCTGGTCAGCAGGTGGCAGTGTATTAAAAGGGACATTGGTAGTGAAAACAAAATGTCAGTCCAAGATAATCAGCTTTCTGTTTATGCAGCACCAGAGTGACCACTCTGCACAAATTGTCACAGACCCTTTCAACCTAAAACAAAGGCCATTTCCAAATGAAAACATTGTCGTGTGGATGTAGCCTGAATCCCACTGTGACCTCCACCCCTCATAACCTCCAGTGAAAACCCCAAATTGCTGCATGTTCCAAGCAGACTAAACAAGTCGTTGGCACCCCAAGTACCCTTTGTAGTGTCCTTGTACGTGAGCTCAGTCTCAACATGGTCCTATTCTGTGGAAGTGAATGTCTCAGTGAGCTCCACTCCAGTGTTTTCTTTCCTCCCCTGCTCCCTCTCTCTCTCTGTGTCTCTACGATCTTACTCCTCCTTCCCTTTTGTTATTTAAATCTGTGATGTGTTGGGGTTTTGTGGATATTTGGGGTCCTCAGGTGTTCCACAAGTGCCTAAGTCCAGATGTATAGTTTTTTATTTTTCTGTCAGCTACATTCTTACACACGTTTGCATTTTTTATAGATCTACAAAAACTGGTAACTGCTGGTATCTACACCTTTTCACAGTGATTACATCATGAATTAATGGCACAATGAAAACCTGTTGACCCCGATGCCAGGAGTGCCCTGTATAGACTTAGTCTGATTATGAAATCTCTCTGTCTGTCATGTTACATGATCTTAAATCATGAAATGGTGAAAGATAAGATTTTTCATTCTGTTAACCAATAAACTGTGGTTTATGTTAGTTATCCATCTATTTTGAAACCAGAAAATCGTATTATTTAACAAAAGAATCTTGTTCACTTTGTTGCATACTGTTAAATGGGAAGATCAATGTAGTTCTCCTTTACCTTATACCACTCTGATGCAAGTTGTTAAAAAGTGAGCGAAGACCACAATTACAAACCACAACTGGAAGTTCTTCAGAACCCCACAGGGACAGAGAAGAGAAAGGGGAAAGACTGTGAATAAATGTATCTGAATGGTCAAACGGGTTGTCATAATAATAATAATAATAATAATAATCATAATAATAATAATAATAATGTTAATAATAATTGTGAGTTTCATCCACCAGACTTGTATGAAGCACAGGAAACTCCATGACGTCTAGACAGATAAGAAGCTAACTGCTAACAGTGGATGTACAGATTGTAGTTTGTATTTGCACTTCCAAAGAGGGCAGTGGAATTGATCTTCTCATCTAATAGCAGCTGTTAACAATCACAAGTGTTCAATTATTCATCTATAGCAAGGCTTATATGGATCAGCATCAAACATTTATCCATAGTGTCCATCAATTTTGCCTTTTAAACCTTTATCAATAACTAGCTGTGCAGCCTCTCAGGATCTCTCTCTGTTTTCTCAGTGTCTACACAGTAGTTAGTGTTAAACAGACTAATGTGTGGATGGATGTGAGCAGGTGTGACCCCTCCCCACCCCCATTCTTTTGTTTTTGTCTAGTTTCTCCCAATCCAATATCACTCCTAAATTATATCCGTTCTTTTCACCTGTTTCCATCTCCTCTCGACAGCCATCAAGGGCTTCTCACCTCAGCATAAGATCACCAGCTTTGAGGAGGCAAAGGGCTTGGACCGCATTAATGAGAGGATGCCGCCGCGGCGAGATGCGCTGCCCTCTGACGCCAGCCTCAACTCCCTCAACAAGGCCCTGTCCTCGGAGACCAACGGCACGGATGCCAAGGGAAGCACCAGCAGTGGCAGCAACATTCAGTGAAGGCCGGCAGCAGTTGTAAGCTGGGCCCCGCCCCCTGCCTCATCTCGGCCCACCACAGCAGAATAGGGGCAAAGGGTGAAGGAGTGGAGAGGGTTGTAATGTGGAGTTGGGAGGCATCTGTGGCTCACACTGTTGGGGGGGAGGGACACATCTCACTTTGCTCGTCTGTGGTTATGCCTTCAAATATTAGTTCATAGTCAAATCTGCTAAGTTATTGCCGGTTCACATTTCTGCGGCTCATGCCTTTAGTGTGTCTGAGGCCGTGCCACATCACAGTCTGCTGCAAGGAAAGGGAAGGAGAGAGAGAGAGAGATGGATTCTAAAGGTGATTTAATTTCCCTTTTTTCCTCAGAAGACCCTTGCTCATTCACACCGAAATGGAAAGTCACGTAACTTCTTACTAACTATTGTACGTTTACAAAAATACAGCACTAAAAGAAAAAGGACAGAACATGAGATCATGTTTTTAACATATAAGGGTGTACAAACTAAATAAGGACTATTTATTGATAACTTTTTTTTGCTACTCTTATAAAAAAAAGCTCTGAATTTAATTAGGCAGTCTTAAAAAGAATGTTGCAATGTTGTCGAAATGCCAAATAATGGAACGTTTTATGGTTTTGTACATATTATGCTTACCTCAGGTTCATTTGGTGTGTGCTTTGACCTGATTTTTTTTCTGTATAACGGCTAAATAACTCGGTAATGAATAACTATTTTCTTGAGTTTCATAACTGGAATTTACATTTACCTATCTATCATTTGCAAATATGTTTATTTTTTTGTCTCTATCAGAGGGGCAGGGGGGCAGATGTATCGTGGCTTGCTGGAATTGAGTGTTAATTTTCCTCTTTTTAAGTATTGCGAACAAAGTTAAAAAATAGAGAACCTATATTGTGTAAAGAAAAAAAAAGATTACAATAAACTTACAAGTGTCTGCCTATGCATGTTTTATAAAAATCCGACAAAGGAAATAGAAAATCTTAAAACCTTGGCTGTGGAGGCCTGTTTTGAAATATATTGCGCTTTAGTGAATATATACTGGAAACGTATACCTGCATACTTTCAATTAACACCATGATGCTTTACGCCTTCAACTTTTTTTTTTTTTTTGTAATTGAAGCATTTATTGATCTATGATGAATGAGAAATCATATTTTTAACCTGCGCTTGTCAGTGCACACAGTCCAATTACGCATGTTTGACAATTCTTGTGAGGTGTGTGGTTACATGTGGAACTCAAAAATGCATGATTAGCTGTTTGTGTCATATAACAGGTAAACAATGGGTTTTTGTTTTGTTTTGGTAATGTGCCACAGGACGTGTAATTTGACTATGATTACTATGATTATTATTATTATTATTATTATTATTATTATTAAAATATTTGGAACTCTGCTTTGTATATCAGTTTTAGGTTTGATACTGCTCAATACTTTAAGATGAAACAAAAACATATGTCGATCTTTTTTAAGAACTGCTTAAGTGCCCGAGTAATTCACTACACGACATGAAGCCTTGCTTTTGTAATTTAACTTCAGAACTGTTGGCAGATGAGGCATGCACTTGCAACTATGAAAAGTATTTTATATAACTGTTCAATAAAATGTGCATGAATTTCAACTTGAACCAAGGCCAGTTATTCATGTGTGGTGTATAATTGACTATTAAACTATTTTGAATTGATTTAGATGCCGGACATGATTTAGATACTGGACATGTTCCAAAACTACATCATCATGTGATGGTAAATCTGTGGTATAACAGTTAACTTGTCACTTAATTTATATAATGTAAAAAAATAAAACTTTGTGACATATGATGTAACTGCTCATTGAATTGGTGTTGCAGAATTGAATGTAATTGCAATTAAGGTGTCACACCAAATCCCCTGGAAGTCAAAGCCCCGGCATTTTGTAGCGCTACTCCGGGAGTTAAAGCGAGTGAGCACTGAGAGTGAGTGTGCGTGCTCCTGACGACAGTGTGCACACGACAGAAAGAAAGTCTTAGAGTTGACATCCTGCAAATCATTACATAAGGTGATGGCGTCCACATGAAAAAGAAATGACAAAAATATACATTATAAACATACCCAACACAGGGCAATTTCTTGCAGGAAACCTGCTAACATTTACAAATGACTCATAAACCTACAGGGACTCTGCAACACACTGGACAATGGAGTCACAATATTGCACTCTCAGCTCTGGAGAGAGCCCACACAACATTGCTACTGGTCGTTCATGTGGATGGGAAACTGTTTCCTCTGCAAAGGTGTTTCCTCCTCCTCAGCCTCACTAACTTCTTTGATTCAACAGCCAAGACTGTGCAAATTTGCCTGTGTGTATGAGAAAGGAAGCTCCACGACTTCCTGTTTTCACCAAAATTCAACATGTGTTAGCCTTATTTGTTTATTTTATGTAACCTTCAGATAATGAGGAAGTTTTTACAAAAACGATCTTCTCAGGGGAAGATTCTCAAGTAAAGAAAATCAGATACAGTTCATTTTAAGAACAGAAAAAGGTCAAATTGATTGATTAATTAATGGCAGTGTATTTTACATATTCGATATATATTATTCAAAAGAGTTGTTAAATGTGGAATAGACGATGGCTTTTTTATTCAGGCTTTTTTTAAGTAACTCTGCCATCTAGTGGAGCACAACTGAACAACTGACCTGAGGCATCTCATCAGGTTTACCCAATATGAAGAAATAAACTGTAAATTGACGGATATAAATCAGTATTATAAATTCAGTTTTTTTTATTGACTGTAAAAACAACACGATGAATAGAACTTGTTTATTTATTTAAAAAATATTTGCACACATATATACAGTGATGGGACTAACGGCGTAAAATAAACGGCGTTACTAACGTTATTTTTTTCCGTAACGGTTCATCTAACTACTTACTATTTCCATCGTTACAACGATATCACCGACATCAAATGGGTCGAATCATAAACTTAAGCTGCTCATTGATGCTGTTTCCACTTGACTTTCAGCCACAGGAGCGCTGTTATTTGGTGAGGAAGAAGGAAGGGACGAGACAACCGCATAATTGATTATGATTGGCAGAGTAAGCTTTCGTGGTAAGCCAATCAGACGCAGTTCTTACAACAAATCATTCGAGCACGCAGCTGACATTACATACCTAAATTATCAGAGGTAAACCGCTGAAATAGCGAGTCAGGAGGGAAAGCTGCCGTTTTCAAAATGGAAATACAGGCCCTACTTCAGTCAGAGGTAAAAGGAAAGAATGGACGTGTAAAGTGTGCATTATGTTCCGGGGGGACGTGTTTGTCCACTTCCGTTATGAGCAACTGTAATTTAAAAAAAACAAACAAACACGTTGTTTACCTTGTTGACGATGATAGCAGAAAATGCTTGAACAGTACAGTATTTACAGAGAGTTAAAAGCAGTTTATATTGTTAACCTGTATTGTTCTTATGTAGAAAATACTTCACATAGAGGCACCTTGGCTCTACCAGCTGTGGTCTGTTGAGGTGATATAAATATTTTGAAAATCCTGTATAAGTACCTGTCTTTGCAGTTTTGGCTTGTCAAACCTGTTTAGAAAAAGAAACCCGTTTAAACTTATACTAAAAAAACAAAAACAATATTTACTTTCCCTCGTAACTAGTTACTTTTATAATATAATAATGCAGTTACAAACTCCCTTTCTTTTTGAGAGACGTAACTATAACTTATTAGTTACGTGCCCAACACAGCATATAAAGTTATTTCTTTATATTAATTCCATAAATTGCAGGGTCTTCTATGTCACAAAGATCATTTAAAAATGCATTTTCAACTTTTTCTTTTTATTAAAGAAATTCGTTCCAACAGTTTAAACTGAAAACAAAGCAGTACCTTTCAGCTAAATTGAACAGCTAAACATTCATAAACAGTGACTAAAAACACCATCTTTTGAGACAAAATAATGTAAACGTTTCAAACTTGCACTCAGCTTTTCCCTGTCTTTGTTTTCAGTGACTGTGATTAAACACAATGAAAACATGACTTCAACATCAACAAAAATAAACCCTGACCTCATGAAAAACAAGACAAAAAACATGACTTACTGAAAGACTACACCAGGGGTGTCAAACTCATATTCACTGGGGGCCACATCATCAATACAGTTCCCCTTGAAGGGCCAGTTGTAAATGGAAGACTGTATAGATCAGGGGTCCCCAACCCCTGGTCCGCGGACCAGTATCGATCCATAGGTCATTTGGCCGTAGTGGGACACAGTTAAAAAATGTACTTAATTTTTACTAATTTACTTCATTCAAAGAAAGTCCAGTTAAATTCATTTACTTTCTTTATTTAAGATAATATGGCAATATTTTAAAATTGTGTCATTCGGACTCTAATACAAACAGAATTAAGTATACAAGATGTTTTATTTTCCTTCAATTCTCAGCACCTTGGTAACAGACTGTAGTAATGGGTGGAACTGGATGACCAGTCCTTGGAACAAAAAAGGTTGGGGACTGCTGGTATAGATGTAACTACTCCATAACAGACTAATTCATGTTTCTGCAAATGATTATTATTTGATTTATTATAAAAACATTTAATTTCTCAGGTTAAGAAACTCTGCTGCATGAACTTTACTAAATGCTTTTTAAGCTGCCGCGGGCCACACAAAACAGCTTAGTGGGCCGCATTTGGCCCCCAGGCCTTGGGTTTGACACGTTTGGAACAGAGGATAGCATTGAACTGTAAATACTTATATTATAATATGATTAGATCTGCACTACACTAAACAGTAGTGGGCAGAATTTACTGGAATATAATTAACATTTTGAAAATGTTTTTGTGTGTTGTTATTGTGTTTTTTTTAATTAAAAAAGGTGATACATCTTGTTTTGGAGACTTGTAATCTGGAGTCCACTGATGTAATAGGTACACCATGTGACAGACATGACTGAGACAATGGTTAGTAATAGCCACAGGCAATTATGATGCTGAACTGTCCAGCATATTATACTGTAACATCACCCCCTATGGAGCTGTACACCTCCAATCCACTTTGTTATTAATTTGGCTTCATTAGTTTGCCACATTGGAAAGTAATACTACTGAAAAAAAAATCTCACGAAACTCTCAAACCTCTTTCTTCAACATCTTGTTAGTTTACTGACTTTTTCATATTTGTTTACTCTCTCCATTTACTCTGCGATCACAAATGAAATTGTTTTTACACTGTCTGTGGTCCACTCCCTGCCTCCTCCCTCCTGCCCACGTGTGTCAGAGCAGGAAAAAATAAGTGACGGGAGTTGCATTCAAACACGGCAGAGAGGAAAACCAGTGTATTTCCTCCTGTTTTTTCTAAAGGTTGTGCCAAAATAAGTATCAGCGGAGCAGCCAAGGCTTGGACCTCTCTGTTGTTCACACAGTCTGAAGTCAAGCAGCAGAACCATCATGAAGACCACCAGGATTCTCGTGCTCCTACTGCTCACAGCTGTCCACATCCTCACAAGAGGTAGGAAAACATTTCAAACTATTTTGTGTTGGAAATGAAGTTTTTATCCTTCTATCAGGGACTTAGTTGAATCTTTAGCAGAAGCAACTCTTTCCAATTGACTTAAAACCTTTAATTAAAAAAAAACATGAATGACATTTGTGTATTGTAAATGGAAAGAAGAAAATTCGGCATTGATCTAATAACAATTGTCATTTACAAAGAAGTGTTGCTTAACAAACTAAGATATTCAGTTGTTTTTTAAAAAAACAAAAACATTTAATTCATCGAAGTTAAAATGAATTTGTGAAACAATATCAAATAATCTGTTATAATTCTAATCTATTATCTTGCTGTGACCTTTCTAAGTGTGCATGATATACTTAAATAAAAACCTCTCCAATAACATGGATAAAGACAAGATTTTATTACTTATTATTATTTATTACTTTTAACTACTTTTAATCTTAAGGACAATTTTAGGGATTTCACATGAGTTAAAAAAAATCTGGGTTTTTTTATTTCTCATTTAAAACACTTTTGTTTTTTCTTTAATTTTCCTGGTTTAATTTTGCTCCGATTGCTTGATCTTCACTGCCATCTTGTGTTTTGTCTCATGTATTTTGTTTGGTGTTGTTATGTGCGAAGATAACAATCACTGTCCCGGCCAAATACTTTGAAGATGACCTCAGAGATGTCACAGTTACAGAGTTTACTCGCATTCATTCACACCTGAGAAAAAAAACAAAACAATATGAACAGGACAAAATATTAGGCACAGATCTACCCCTCAGCCGATCCAGGAGATTCTCTCCTGATTTGCTTGTCTTTCTCTCATATAAGTTTGGAGAACTTGTAACTAACTGCCCTGCCCGGGGCAGATAGGTGATCTGGCAGCAGATAGTGAGTGGAAACCAAAACTGCACCCCCTCTCACAGAGACTGCAGAGTATAGTCCTGAGACTTGAATGTCCCAGTTGACAACAAATAATTTGTCAGCATTTAAACGTCTGATGTAAACACCTTCTGCTGAGCTGCTGATAGTGGACACCAGTACATACAAAATACATGGCTTATATATTACGAAATATACAGTATAACACTTAACTCTACCATCGTCGGTTCCATAGTATAGCACAGTGGTTCTCAGACTGTGGTATGCGTACCACCAGTGGTACGTGGGGAAAATTCATATATTTTCACATTTATATTTTTAATTGAATAAATCTGAAACATACCAATTAATACAACATTTAAACATAAACATCTTTCTAAACCTCTTTGTAAACATCTCTCCTGTGGTGGAAGCTAACAGTGAAGGCCTCTGCTGCTGTATTCTAATGTTGGTCATCATGGTGGTACTCAGAGAGATCAATGTTTTCTCAGGTGGTACAGCGGAGAAAAAGTTTGAGAACCACTGGTGTAGCGGTTAGCATGCCTGCCTCGGAAGCAGAGAGCAGAGAGTCCTTGGTTTGATTCCCAGACCAACCACAAGGAACTCAGCCAAGCATGTGGCAATATTTGGGGATTTATATATCATCAATATAGTACAAATGTATTTTTATTTATTTATTTCAATGGCTGAAGCCACCTTAACTGGCATTTGTATAAGCTTTATTTGTGATTTTGTTTTCACAGTTTCATCAGATACTTTAATAGCATCAACCACAGGGATGGCTTCGACCCAAACCACTTCAGGTGAGGACAGGAAGTAAAGCAACCATTTATCTACCAGCAAAGAACAAAAACCTGCTTTGGGGGGAAAAAATAATATGAATCTGATTTTTCTCTTAAAACAATGTCTGTAAGCTTTTTAATATAGTGACACACATATTTGGAGCCGTCAACCTTTGCAGACCAAAATGCAACATAGACCCCTGCAGTACGCTACTTTTGCTTTTGAAAAAGAAATCCATGATAATCCATCAATCCATAACAAAAGCAGTCATTTCTCCGTCACCATCATTTGTCCTATTTTGTGCTTTGTGTTAATTCTTGTTTGTATTTATATTGGTTTGTCCAGTTTACCCATCACACCTATTTCCTCAAACAGCACATACAGTATTTGCTGCTTTGCCACACATACCTTTTGGTTAGAAGAACCACTTCCCACTCAAGGGCTGATGTAAAATTTGAGATGTCAATTGTAGGTCTGAAGTCTAGAATCAAATACTTAAACCTAGTGTGCAGTTCCTCTTGGGAATGTGCTTCCTCCTCCACCTTCTCTTTTACCATCTTCACTCTAGTTTTAGACCTTAATCTAAGTAAGATGATATTTGCTCTAAAATCCAAGAGTCTTGACTTGGACCTGTTTCAAAATTTGTAACTTCCCCTGTGATTAAATACCGATTTAGTACCACATACAGTAAAACAAATGATGGAATGAAATACTATACATTTTATATTATACATTTATATTTCACATATACAGTATGTTTCATGTTATAGGCAATCTATATATATATATATATATATATATATATGTATGTATGTATATATACAGTGTATATATATATATATGTATGTACACAAACACAGTACATACATTTGAGAAAGAACCTTAGCCTGACAAGTGTGAAGACAGGAAATTTGTCTGCACAGGGCAGGGGGCACAATCACACACAATAGTGTGTGCGTGGGACAGGATACAGCTTTGCATTACCAATCAATGCTGCTAACAGAGGATATCCACCTCAGCGACATTGCTGTTACTAACACTGCTGCTGTTGCTAACACCACAATTGTACTCCAGGTTCCTCAGACTGACAGTTTGACTGTAGGCAGGAATTTGTCTGAGACACCGGACATTAAAGCTGTGCCAAACAGAAATCATACAAATATAGGGAGTCTGCAGAAGATAAATAGAGAATCTGGGGGAGGAAGCGTCTCCTCCTGACACACACAAAAGCTCAAACGGACGCAGGTGTTTGTTCCTAGAAAACACATCAGTCAGTTGTTGTACTTCGGCCTGACACAGTGAGGGTTTACTGCCTTGATTTAGTTTTGCTTTGCTTAAATATCTGGGAGATATAATAATGGGAGAAAGCAAACCTATAGACAATATAAAAAAGTGCTTATTTTCTACTGTGCAATACTTGACAATACATACAATAATAAGTAAAATCTGAGATTTTAATAATTTATGGTGTTTTATATTTTTTATTTTTTATTTTATTTGTTGTCTATTCTACCTTGGTATTCTAGTCTTACTTTTCTGTCATTGCAACATGTTAATTCCCCTAGTGTTTGGTCAATAAAGTCTGATCTAATCTTATGTAATTGATAAGTTTAGATTAATCCAAACTAATCTCACCCAGACCAACCCAATCTGTCGGTTAGGATATTAAATAAGTATTCAAAGCTTTTTTAGCTTTTTGTGCTAATAATTCTTAGACAAGGAACTGAAATAATTTACTTGCTGTCCTCTGCTGGGTTCATAAGGACACAAGAAAAAAAAGCATCAACTTTAAAAACAGAAAAAAGTTGGTGTAATATCAATATAATGCTGTGGTAGGGCCTGCATGAAAACTATACACAGAAAAATAGAATGAATCATTTTTTTAAATTATACATAATTCAAGTTTGGTGCTTTTTTCTGCCAAGTTACCACTGAGGTGCTCTGAGCATGACACTGTCCCCACACACTCATAAAGCTGCCCACTGTTCACTGTGGTGATGGGTTAAAAACCAGAGGTCACATTTGGTTGTGTTCAGTGGTGTGCCGTGTCACAATGACCAGTAGTTCACTTTCCTTCCTTTATTCAATGTCCTTTTTACAAGTAGTTACCTAACCACAGGATTTCTGTTTTTACAGATTCACCAAAACCAATGGAAAAAAACACAATGACCTCCCCATCAGAAATCATAACAGGTAAAAAATAAGATGATGAGCACACTTTGTTTTTCTTTCTTTATTTTAATTTTTGTCTTTTTGTTTTCCATGGCAACCTCCAGCCACCTCCCTGAAGCCAACTTCAGATCCAGCTGCAGCACCATCTGTGACCACTGTAACTCCATCTGTTCCTCACACATCACCACAGAGTGAGATGTCTTTTCAGTTGAATACATACTGTATTTGTATTAACATCTAAAGATTGACTTTGCTAACAGTTTTTTAATCAACAGTAGTAATGATAACAATGTTTTTTTTTTTTTAAATCTGTAGCAGAGGAGCCCGGATCTTCTCACAGGCACAACCAGACTACAGACTCCCCTAGAGATCCCAACACCCAGACTCCCACTCACCCAGGTATGACAGCACTTATGTTTAAACAAAAGAGACAACAACAGTTTGTCATATTTTAAGTAGAACATTTTAAAAATGTCCTTGTTGTACTTTCAGCACTGCTGCAACAATGCTCACCAAATTTATCTTTCATTTGATTTGAGTTTTTTCGAATGTGTTTTTCAGTGAAAACTGATCAAATGACAACTCTCAGCAATGACAAAATTACAAATGCAGCTGCGACTCAGTCAGGTAACAGTTTGTAAAACCTCATGGAATTATGTGGGGAGGGGGGGGTTACTTCTACGTTTTACATGTGCTGTCTGTCTATAATTCTGACAGGATACCATGACAAAACCAGCGATGTAAAAACAAATAAAGGTGTGTTCAAAATCAGAATACTTTCTCATTAAAATACTACACATCATTTCTATTTTTAATTATATGTATTTACCCCCCTGACTACAGAAACGAGTACTTCCTCCCCAGGTAAGGTACACAACTCATATTTGTCTGATAAAGGGTTAATTCATTTGCTTTATGCTAATTGATGACGAATCTATTGCAGGAAATGTGTCCATAAATGCTGAAGATGAAGATGCTGGTAAGATATGACTTACCATCACCTGATATACTGATGTGTTGGAAGAAATGTGTAATGCAATTGTGTAAATGAAGTTGTTGTTCATTTTCCTCATTCTGTTTTACAGGTTCTCAAAAGGGGAGTGAAAAAACTGCAGTTGCCCAATCAGGTTAGATTTACTAAAGCAGAATTGGGAATACTGCTAAAACATTTGACATACAGAGAAAAATAACTTTTCAGATTCAAACCCAGAGTGGTGTGTTGGCTGTGACTGCTGTATCCTTTGACCTTTATTCAGTTTTCAGGTTTACTTTTTGACCTGTCAGTTAAAATGGACGTGTTGATGTAGATCTCATCCCTGTCACAGACAAAAGGCTATGGTGGATTCTGCTGCTCGTCTTCCTGATCGGAGCTGCTGTCGCCATCGTCCTCAAATTCAGAAGCAAGAAAATCCACGATCACATGGGTAGGAGTCACAGAATGATTCATGAAGAGCACATGCACAGAAAAATTAAATACAACAAGCTCAAAACATTTACACATCTTCATAAAATTATTTATTAATAGGTGTATATATACATATATATTTATAGTGTGAATATATTTGAATGCCGTCTCTTATGTTGTGTGCAATTTAGATGTTGATTCTGCTATATAACGTTCTTGCGTATACATATACACGTATGTGTATATGTACGTGTAAAGATATACATACTTAAATCTATTGGTTTTTCACCATGTATTTTACATTTTTATCATATTGAATTTTTTTACTTATATTTTATACATGTATTTTTCTGTTACATATGTCTCAGTCACAGCTTTTATTTACTTCTACCTCAATATGTTGCTGTTTGCAAATACACAGACTGATGCAAAATACATGTATTAATTACATACAGTATGTAGCAACCTGTAATCGAGAACTACAGTAGTAGAATTAAGTATTACTGAATCTTGTTTCTTATCGTATCCAACAGAAACTATTGACACTGGAACTGAGAAGTAAGTTAATACCGCGTCATTACAAACTTGTTTTATTATACTGCAGTGTCTTAACAAATAAATTGTCCATGTTTTCTTTTTACTACAGTGCATCTTTCCAGAGCAGACCTGAAAGCACCAAAGACGGTGTCCTGCTCCTAGGGGTGAAGTCATCGGGTGGAGATGGCAATGGTGAGCTGCCCTTCTATCTGTTTCCAGGTTGATTCTGTTTGTATACCATTCCTTCACTAAGTGAAGCTGGTTCTCTGGAAAACTATTTGCTGGGACTTGTGGGAAGCAGCAGGCTTTTAATATCTCATTGTGCAGCTCGAGCTTTCGGCGGGCAACAGAAGGTGTTTCCTGTGATTTGGGCCCTCCGCCCTGAACCCAACAGCAGGGCTGGAAAGATAGTGACTTCCTAGCATAAACAGTGATTATTTAGGACAGCTATTGTTTTGCCTTTAAATGTCAGCATGGACCAGACACTGCAGACACATGCATGTGTCATACATGGTTCCGTAACAACCCCTGTAACTGTTGACTCCACCCTTGAAAGAAATTTGGACATTTAGCTTTTTCACCTTCCTTCCCTCATAAAGTCAGGCCTGGATGAACTGGCTAGGAGCTTCCCAGGGAAGTGTAGTCATGCTGTAGGAATTTGACTGAGGGAAAAAAAAGGTGTTTGTATTGTTGCAGATTTCTCTGCATTGTAGCTTTAAAATAATCCTTGTTTGTTCCCCCATTAGAAATGAATGTTAACAGAAAAAATAGGAGATTTAAAAAGTTATTTTACACAAAACATTTGTTAAAATTAATTCAAAATAATAGTGGTATAATGGTTTTACACTGTAAAATAAGATCATACCGTAGTTATATTACATCTTTAGGCTCTGATCAGGTCAAATAATTTTTTTCATTATTCTTTTATCCTTGTTTGGTTTCATCTGTTGCCTCTCTTGTGCTTGTGTGTTTCAGCTGCTGCCAGATAAAAAAGAAAGGGAGGGCGGTTAGAGCCAGCTCGAGCAGTGGTTGTGTTTTAGCCCCACTCCACATTCTGTTCCTGTGGAGGAACTGTTTAAATGTTTGATATTTATCCTCTGATTTTATGAAGTGAAAAAAGGGCATAGAGTAGCGTTTTTGTTTGTTTGTTTTTTTTTTAATGTAAAATTCAGTTTGCGTCATTTTCCTTCTATCATTCTTATGTCTATGAAACCTTTATTGGTCTGTAATTTTCCCCTTCTCTTTGGCAGCTCCATATCTATCTCACACTGAAGCCATAGCACTGTCAAGGAAGTTCAATATGCTGTTGACACAAACCATATTTAAGCTGCATGATCTTTAGCGATGTCACCATTAACAGAGCACTGACCTCAGATTATATCATAGTTGTTTTATTGATTTTAATCTCTTGTTTTTTAAATATGATGGTGTATTTTTCCTGGACAGTTTCATATATGTGTTTCATTTTATATCAACAAACTGACCATTAGTTTTTTAGCTAAGAGTTTTGCAGTAGGGACGTATTTTTCAGTGTATGTAGAATAGCAGTCAGTTGTAATGAAAACGTTAATGCACACAAAAGCTGGATTTAAAAACAAACAAACACTGGAACTACTTTATAGCTGGATTTTCTTTTTTTCCCCAACCTCAATTTCTTTAATAAATCACTGACAATGATGTTTTTGTGAAGGCCCAGTTTACTGAGTTCCACATCTGTTGGGTTACCCACATGTGGGCAGTGTATATGCACTAGTGTACGAGCCCATATTTGGCATCATCAGCCAAATAAAATGGTGTCTGGGTTTTTAATTTGATATTACACATGAAATGACTTGGCATGGTTCAATCGAAATATATATTTGTTATTTAATGATTTGTTATCATTATGTATTGAAGTAAATATTTTAAAATGTATAATATTTATATACAAATTTGTCGTATATTTGAACATTTTAATGCTTTTTATAGTTTTTCAGTGCTTGTAAATGAAGCCCGGCAAAGTTAATTCTGAAATTTACCACGAGAGGGAGACCTAGTTTAATTATGAACGTTAACATTAGGTGCAGAATGTCATGGGGTTGTGAACAGAGCAGTTTCTCTGCTTAACTTCGTTATTTACATTCAACTTTTGACTTGAATGAATGTTTTATTTAATTAAATCTTGAGTAGATTTTGAGTGACTTTTACTGCCTAAAGGCCATGGCCATCTTGAAGGGAATCATGTAAACTGTCTCTCTCTCGCTCTCTCTCTCTCTCTGTCTCTCTCTCTTACACACACACGCACACATACAGACACATACACACACAGTGCTTTTCCACTCCTTTGTAAGATGATGCTTTTTAACTTGCAGGCAAATGTCTTTCTGTGATGTGGTTAGCCGTCTGGCAGGTGTCCAGGCACACACACACACACTAACACATCCATAATGCCTCGTCAGCTGTGGCATCAGCTGAGTTACAAGAAGCCATGCCAGCTTCGATCCTACAGTATTTACAGTGTTGAATGTGCCAAATACCGACTCATCTACACCAATCCTGGTGGAGTCTTCATGTTGCAGGAAGGACAGCAGTGACAGTGACTGGAAATTCTCCTCAAAAATAGAGGGAATTTCTATGATGACAAACGATAAACGGGCAACTATACAATAAGGGTGGTTTCTTTTCCACATTTGGAGTAAAATAAAGCTCAAATTATAAACTGACACAATCAAATGATCCACCCATAGCTGGACAGATATTTACAAAAATGCAGATTTTATAAAAATGTACCACAAGTTGCATGGAAACACAATGTTTTTCCAGAAATAGCCATAGTTTGTAGTAATAGCTGAATTAGAAAAGAAAATAGAATAGAAGAATAGAACATATCTTCAGAATAGAATTTATACTTAAAATAAAGAATTATGGACAAAATGCTGTGATGTTAACAGCAAATAATCCATAAATTGGTCAAGACATACCTTTATTAATGACTTATTATTGAATTGAATATTAATATTTAATAAATGCAATGAGTTATTTTTATTTTAATGAATTGTCTAAAGAATAAATATCTATATGTCAATTTGGAAAAACAACAATAAAACTCCACCAGAGCTCAGGAAAAGACTCTTGGCAGCTCTTGAAAAATTCTTAAGCTCTTGAAATCCCGACAAGAGCAACTGACACAGAAACCAACAGGAAAGTCCTCAACGTGCAGTTTTTTATCTCCCGTTAAAACTGCCAAGTCAGCTAAGGGCTGCTGTTGTAAAGTTTCATGGGCTTAACACTTGGTGCAGCGAGCAGCACGTTTCAAACGCCGCCTGCATAAAAGCATCCTGACAGGCCACAACAGGAGGTTCATCTAAGTTGACGTGGATCAGTAACCTGAAACACAACAGCCGCTGCCACATCCAAGGAAACGGGAGATGGAGCACAGAGTCACTTCACAAACATATTTTCACTGCACCGTCCCTGAGTAGAAGGGAGTGACGGTGATGAGCAGACGCCAGGGGCAAAGGAGACAGACTGATTTGAATTCAATGGTGCAACTTAGACTGAGTCGGCCATCATGACAGAGAAATAAACCTTTGTACAAGAAGTGAACAATTTATGCTGACTGGAAAGTGCCCTAAATATTCTAGCACTTTCCAGCTGCAAGGTTATAAAGTTTGGTGCAAAATGCATATATGGGGCATTGCATATATATTTTTGTATTATGTTTAATATAAAATAACTGTATTGCCTATTGTTTCAGTGAGAGTCTTCTCCCCTGACTAACACTGTATTATGAAAAAACAGGAGAACATTTCATCTACAGAGACCAAGGTGTCGGATCAACATGTTCTATGACTTAAAGTTTAAAAACAAACAAAGAAACTAACTTTGTTCTTCATTGATACCAGCTTCCACAAGAAGTGTTATGACAGGAATATTCAACCATGTTTTCACCATTCTATTCAATGTGTCATACTTTTATGAAGCGTGTACATCTAAACATGTGCATGTGATTTTTACAGCTATGTAATACCACACTTAAGACATGATTTGTCCAACTTCAAATATATCATTTAAATATTCACACAAACTTTAATTTGGCACAGACCTTGTTACATATTTTTATTGTCAGGATTATTCGTCTCCTCCAGATTGACCTGCATACAATCAGTGGAATGGTTCTATTCTCAATACCTGTTAAGGGTTTTTATTTTTTATGATGCAGTGTAAAATGCAGGCTGCTCGGTGTGCAAGAAAGCTTTCTCAGCAAAAAACAACGACCTTCTGTCTCCACTCAAATTGAGGTCAAACCATTACATTTGTCAATCCCCCTTCAACATATAATCCATACAATCCTGCAATGCTGAGTCTCCTGTTGTCCAACAATAGAATTATGTGCTTGAAATGTATGATGTTTCAAGCTTGTTGCGTTTTACATAAATCAGCCATTGGCTGTATAAACAGGAGAAACACCAGCTAATGCTAAAGCAGTGGTGGACAAAGTACACTAACTACAGTATGTACTTGACTGGAAGTATAGATATATAAAATATTACTTCACCTAAAATATCCACTTGAGTAGAAATGTAAAATAATTTGCTTTCATATACACTTAAGTATCTTGATGAGTTATGGTTCCAAACTGAGTCTACTAAATTTGAGGGTGAATTCTTAAAAGAGGAAAATTTTGCTTATGCAGGCAGAGACGACACTTTAAATAAAATTAGTCATTTCCTTCCTTTCTTCTAGTTCAAAAAGTTTGCACAAATAAGGCAAAAGAAGTTCACAGCAACACCCTAATTGGTGTGTTTGCTGTAGAGTCGCTTTGACCTCATTATTTGATTCGCTTTGATAAAAAGAAAAAAGAGCTTTCATTAAATGCAATGGAGTAAAAATTATCTCTTTGAAATGTAATGGAGTCAGAGTACAATGTCTCTCCAAATACAAAGACTTGAGTAAAGTACAGATCCATTTACATGTTACTTAAGTACAAGAACAAATTCCATTTACTTTGTTACTGTGCACCACTGTGTTAGAGCATGTGACTTGTCTGTGAAGGAGCTTTTGTTTTCCACTTCTGACATGAGGTTTCTCTCTCTCTCTCTCTCTCTCTCTCCCTCTGTCCCGCCGTCCCTCTCTCCCTCTCCCTCTCTCTGTCTCTCTCTCCCTTCATGCCTCCCTCTCTTTCTCTCTTTTGCCCTGGATTCCATTACACTTAAGCCAGCAATCAGCTGAGCTGCTGGGTGCTAGAGCAGAAGATCCAGTTACAGTGAAGAGATCTCTGTGGAGAAAGTGTACGGTGAGGGATAAAGTGCTGATGAGATGAACACCTGTGATCACTCTTCCCTACCAAATACACACACACACACACACGCTTGCTCACACCTACAGTACATATAAAATAGAAACACCAGACATCGTCCCTCCTCGTGTGAAGAGAGGTCACAGACGTCTCCACTGACTTTTGTGCACTTTTTCTTTTGCTCACTTTATTCACAGTTGACACAGTTTGTTCTATTATGCACAATCAAAGCTCAGGTGAGTTACCACAAAAAAGGTGTTCTACTTCAGAGGCAATAATGAAATGCACCGGTAGGATTTTTCCATGCCAGGCATGGTGTCTGAGGTTTGAATCCCTGCAGCCCCTAGCCTTGCAGAATATCCTGGCTGGTTATGCCATGTGAGGGTCTTTATCAACACTGTTGTGACTGCTGTGGCAAAGGACAGATTTACCTGAACATAAATCCAATAGGACAGTAGTTCTCAAACTGTGGTATGTGGGGAAAATTCAGATTTTCACATTTACATTTTCAATTGAATAAATCTGAAACATACCATGCACAATTAATATGACATTTAAACATAAACATCTTTCTAAACATCTCTCCTGTGTGGTGGAAGCTAACAGTGAAGGCCTATGCTGCTGTATTCTAATGTTGGACATCATGGTGGTACTCAGAGAGATCACTGTGGTGGAACCACTGCAATAGGAGTTCTCATAGGTACAGTAAATAGTGTTCCTTCATTTAAGTTCTACTTCTGAATTCCATTAACAGAACACCAGGCCGTATATTCGATTATGTGTTGCTTAAAAATAACCACATTGTAAGATTCTTTGCCAATAAACAAGTCCTCTCATCCCTTTGTAAACAATGTAAACAACGCCTCTGGTTTAGCAGAAGAGCCTCATTTTCATGCCTGCAGCGGCGCCTACGTTTAGTACCATATTGTATGGTTATAGTTATAAGTAATAAGGAAACGTCAACACATTTTGATTAGTAAGTAAACAACATGCTCTTGCTGCTGGTCTTTTGTGTATGTGTGGCAGCAGCACAGTATTGGCGCAGGAGCTGCTCTTTGATTGGTCAAGCCCACGGGTCAGCTGAGAGTAGGAGGGTATAAATACTAGTCGGAAGTTTGTCAGGCGCAGTGTTTGTGTGTCTGTTTGAGAGTGTGTTTAATTAAGTACGTGTGAGGAGGGGACGTGTGGGTGTGAACGTATTTATGAGAAACTATTTTCTTTTAAATAATATTTAAGGTGAGTGGAGAAACTGAGTCCTGCGGTTCCGTTGCCACTTGAGTTGCTGTGTATGTTTGATGTCTGGTGATTCGTTGACTGTAGCAGCAGCGTTAGCGGCGCACCTGTGTGTCGTTGATGTTAATGAACCCTCTGCTGAGGTGACGCGGACCTGCCGCTCGTATTTATTCATTTATTTTTCTTGTTTTTTCTAGGAAGCTTTTGTAGAAACTGTGCTGGAAAACAAACACTGCCAACATGGTTGCCACAAGCACATTAAAGACCAAAAGCAGCGAATGTATTTCGGAACTGGTTGACCGAAGATATGACCAAGCTTGCATTGAGAAAGGTAGGTTCTGGGTTGTTTTTCACTGTGTTTTCTGCCTGTTCTTTGTTTCAGCCAGTTGTGCGCTTGTTTATCACAGTACTGCATGGCTGCAGCAGTGGTGAGGGGCGGGGGTAGCGGGAGAGAATGAAGTCATCACATTACAGTGTACTGCACACAGACAGTCGGCAGTACAAACTATACATACAGATGTTTGACACGTCTCAGTGAATTCATACAACAGGAAGAAAAACAACAACAACAAATATATTTTCATATGTATATCAGGCATTGTTTTGAATATTTGTTAGCAAAGAGCTTTCTGAGGTGGACGAAACAACCAAGTCTTTGAACTGACAATATCATGAAAACCTGGTTATATTAATGGTGTTGTATTTTTGTTTATGGTTTTAACACTTTGCTTTAATTGTTCCTTATTCTGAACAAAATATTTGGAAATGCAAAACAAAAAGCATATATTCCCTTGTGTTCCTAAATTGCACATGTTGCTGTTTTTGACCTATTTTTGAAAAGGAATTCTTTCTCTAGTTCTGAAGTGCTTAAATAAGTCAAACTTTGCATGAAAGTTTAACTTATTAAAAACAATGTTTTATTGATATCTGAATCCTGTAGAACTATATAAAAGTATGGATGCAAAAACAAAAGCCTACTGTCAAAATGCAATACAACCACTACACCACAACTATTTACTAATAGGCCAGTCCCGTTCCATCGGTACTCGGTAAAAGAGCTTGAAGTTCACGGAATAGTGTAGGCTGCGAATGAAGCACGCCCTCTACTGGGATGGACACGTCAGTAAAACAACGGAAGCGGCAGCTGCAGTGAACACTTAAACCAAGTGATGTAAGTTCTTATTTATTTAAAGGAAAAACAGTATTTTATATATAATTACTGTTGTTAGTCATTTGAATACAGCCAGAGTGGCCTAGTTCTGTAGCCCTGTTCAGCCCATATAGGCTGCTCAATCATAGTGTACAGTTGTATCATCCAGCTCATTTGTGCATGTTTTAACAGTGTTACCAAAAACAAGTACAGCTTTTCCCCTCCCCCCGCCGTCAATATTAAATCAGTATTTCGGCAGTAGATCATGCCTGCTAAGCTAACAACTGTGGACAACTTTTAGTGACAGGTTGGATGTTTGTGGTGCACAACATAACAATAAATCCTTTGTTTCAGAACTGGATTTTTGGGACCATTGCTTAGCTGAGCCTCAGAGGATTGTGGATGTGGCTGAGGACAGAACCTGTCAACAGCTGGCCAAGATGTTTGAGAACTGCCTGTCACGAGCCAAGAAAACAACACTGCACTGCTCCTCTGTGCTGGTACCAGAGAAGCTGACAAGGAGGATAGCCCGCGAAGTCTTGAGGCTGTCCTCCTGTGAGCCCTGCGGCCTGCGGGGCTGTGTCCTTTATGTCCACCTGGAGCTGGACAAGGGCTGCAAGCGGCTGGAGCGCATCATCTACGATGCCACTGTGGTGCCCACGTTTGAGTTGACTCTTGTGTTCAAGCAGGACAGCAGTGCGTGGCCCAGCCTAAGGGACTTTCTCCTCATGGGAACCTGCTTCGCCCCAACATTTAGACACGTACTTAAATTGAGTCCAGGTTTCCGACTCGTCAAAAAGAAGCTCTACTCCTCCTCGGCTGGTACCGTGGTAGAGGAGTGCTGAACTATGGGAGGGATTAGAATGATTTCCTGTGGGTAAAAGCACTTCTGCCCATATGTAAATGATGCTGCCAGTGGTGTCATGTTTTCTACATTTTTTTTTCCCTTTTGTACATGCAGTTCAGCTATTTGTAGCCAGTTAGTTCCAAACTCGGGGGTTAAAAGTAAAAAGCTTGCGCGTTAGTGAGTGCGGTCGGTCATTTTGTAGCTTCAGTGTTAGTTGAATTTTTTTTTTTTTTTTTAAAGAATGAAGTACAAAAATTTGCACAATTTTAAAATGTACATTTTTGCAGATGAATATAAAGCGATGGTCACATCATGTTGTGAGGGGACATAACTTAGGGGACACTCTTGTTTAAACACTAGACACTTTGTTGACTTAACGTGAGGTGGTTTACAGGTACATTGAATGTGTGGTGCAGCTGTAAACACACTCAGGCTAGGAGTCGTATGTGTAGGGGAGTGAAAGGGAGGACGTAGCTAGTGGTTTAATACTGTATTTTGTGCCACAGATGTTTTTTAAGACGATGTCTTGTGATGCTGCTCTTGTCCTGGTGTTGACTTTGTGTCACACTGAGGAAATCTGAATGCCTTAAATGCCATTTCCTTTTTTCCCTTCCCCACTACAACTATTCATATGTATGTTCTGTATAAATATCTCTTTTTATTATTATTTTATACCTCTGAGATGGAGGTTTTTCAATGCAAAAACTTTACAGATTATTAAAAGGATGGCTCATAGAATGTTTGGTTTTTATGTAATTAAATGAGGATGTGCAAAGAAATTACTGAATGTCCCTATTCCCTCCCCCCCCCCACTCCCAACCAGAAGCCCATTATTTTTCCAAGCTTTTTTTGATGCCGGCTTTTCTTAATGTTGAACTAGGTCTTGTCTTTGGACAATAAAAAATTGAAACTTAAAGTTGTTTGTGGACTTTATTCTGGATTTCTAGCTGAGCAAACACACAATCCTGGTGAAGTAAAAAAAAATGTTGACCACAACTGTCTCTGCTTTAACTAATTTGAAATGTATACTTTTCCATTCAATTAATTTCTACAGTAGGTTCTTGTCAGGTCAGTGTGTCACATAAACAGCAGCTAGTGCACATGCACTGCTGTAGTGCTGCAGACAAACACATTAGTGGGTTGTGTGACCCTGCAGGGTTTGTGTGACATTTCTCACTTCTTTTAACGGGGGTGTCTCCATAGAGACTGCCAGGACCTGGTTTTGTAAACCCCACTAATGAGAGTCAGATGAATCAAAGGCTTTTGACACACATGTGGGACATTTGAGCTGCAGACCACCATTCCATGTTTGTAGCTCTTCATAGGAGCCAAAGGGAAGAAAAGGCCACTGACACACTTACTTTTCACCACTGTATGTTGCCTGAAGTTTTACCGATGGGTTTAAAGAATGTTTTCTTGATGAAGCATCAGTATTGCACTGAAGTATTGTCACGTAAAACTACTGCATTACTGCCACTGTGAAGTAACAAAACCTGAGTAATGGTTTAACTGAAACTGCACGTAAACAAAATAGCATTTGCTTTGTGCTAAAATGGGACAGCATTGAGCCTTGCATGGTTACGGCCATAAATGCATGGAACAACATGATTGACTTTGTTGCCTATAAATGTGTAACATTTTTGCCTCATGTTTAGAAATGTTTTCATCTGCAAATTCCCAGTAGTACAGTATGTACTTTATCACAGGTAATACTCCATTTCATTTAGTTCTCATCTTTGTCATTGTGTAACATAGTCTTTCTGCTTTAGTTTGTGCTGCAGCCCCAAAGACAGGGAGCTGAGAGACACACATGCATCAAGTCTAATGGAAAAATACTGAAGAATTTTTTTATGCTGCTGCAGCCAGAAGAATCTGAGCTGTACTCTCTCCCCTTGGCAGGCCATTCAGTCAAGCACATGCATCTGCTGCTGGTGCTTCATATCTTGCGTGTCAGCATGAATCATCTCCATCCACCACAGTGTGTGTGGTTAGAATACCAGTTTTATATTGTGAAATTGGCCTGGCCGTGACACACCTGCAGCAAATATCACACACATTAAAGGCCTGCTATCCTGGAGTAGTCTGCCAGGTCAGAGGCCTCTTTTACCGCGGGGCATCCAAGTCACCCGATAAGACTGTTTGTTCCTTAGGGATGAGGGGGTGGGAGGGCTTCATTTCATGTTTCCTACCTGACCTACAAAACACATGATTTCTGAGGTAGAAATCTCCCGAATCTGGCCCACATGTCCATGCATTTCACTCCTGGCCCATTTTTGTTTATTATAGTTTATGGAATTTTGTCCAATGTGATGGTGGTGTCATTTTGAAGATTTTTCCATTCAGTACAGGAATGTTGACGTTCGTTTGAAATATCCTTCTGTTAATCAGAAGAATATTAAACTGTCTGTAGGCATTATCCTACTTGGCGTCGGCACTATGGGTTGAGCTCACACCTACACACTGCATGTCATCATATTAGTCACAGGACTCTGTGGCCTACTGTACAGTACTGTATATAACACTGCTATGCAGGTCATTGAGTTTTTGAACATAATGGCTGTTTTTAACACTATACCGACAGAGTGAAAGTTACTGCTGTGGAAGAGTGATTTTCCTGCTGGACAGTAACCATGTACCACTAAGAAATCAAAACATCAACATGTGCATGACAGCAACGCAAAGTGCTAGATCCATTTTGAGAAAGTTGGACTAAAGTTGGTAAACATAAGCCTGCAATTTGATGTGATATCACATGGTTTTGCTGCGTATTGAAATTCAAACCTATCACACACTCCTCGCATTCCAGGAAATCTCTGTGCCACCAGAGAGGGCAGCGAGTCATGTTGGTGAAGGGAATTTTAATTCTGCTTTGCAGAGCCAAACAGCACTTTGACCACTGACAGATACCTAACCACAGTTAAAGCACAGACTGAGAGAATGTATACCTACCTCCGATGTCATTAAGGATTAAACTTAATCCACGTTCAGATTTCATTACATTGTTTTAATGATTATCATGAGTGTTACAATAGTGTTCATCCTTTAGCACTGCTTCCCCTTAATGGAAATTTCTTGACCATCTCCAGGTCATATCTGCCCAACTCAACACGTAGCCTGTGGATGAAGTACAGCCACTTTCTACCTAACCGATAATAAATAAATGGACAGAGAGATTAAATATCTGCCTGGGGATTAGTCAACGTTCATAAAAGTGAGGTTACACAGTTCTATCTGCAGGGTCATGTGCACTTAAAAAGCCATTTAGGTACTGCCTAAATGGGAAGTAATACTTTTATTTTTTATCTTATAATTGATAATTCATTCAAATTTTCATAGAATGTGAAAGCATGTGCAGTACATGTACCTATCCATTGACCTGATACTCCTTATCACTACAACCAGCTGTTTTGTGTTTTCCTACTGCACTTCAGTATCTTACTGTCCTTATGGGTACTTTATCAAGAAGATTTGTTCTGATACTATGAGAATAATTTAACAAAACACAAGAAGATGTGCCTTAAGAGATTCTTCCATGATTGGTGTCCTCACTGTGGTGTGGGTGACATACCACATTTTAGTTCATTGCATATTTATTGAAACCCGACCTGAAGGAGTATCAGTATTGGTACTTTGGATAATATGTGGTTAAGTTATGAGAATCTCTACATTGTGGTGAGATACACTAGTGTCTCTCGATGCCTTCTCTTATATACAGTAAGAGCCCTGACTTGAATATGTAATTTAACTCAAGTAACCAGTAAACATCAATACTTGTACAAATGCTAGTTTTTGTCCCACAATGACACAATGCTTTAAAAACAAAGACCTGTTGCTTGTAAACAACCATTTCATGTTGCACAGCACTGGTAAACACATTTTGACCACAAAGCAGGGCTAAAAGCTCAGTGTAACAACCTGTTCCCAGAAATGATCTTGTGATTGAGATTGCAGTCTTAAATTGAGAACAAGTAAGAACATCATGTCTATGTTGAACCAAATGTTTGATTTTTTTCTCATATTACATAGTGTCCTCTATTACCATTTAGTCATGTGTTAGCCTTTTGTTTCAGTGTGTTATTTGCTGGGTTTTTATCTATAGAGATTAATGTAAAGTGGTCAATGATAATTACAAACATTTACTAACAATGAAGACTTACATCTTCAGGTTTGATATAACTCTGGCTAAAAATATTTCCCAGTGTCCTTTGCTTTATGAGCTTCTGGTCAGTTGTGTGCCTGAAATGCCACTGGTCATCTAAATACAGTGTTTAGTGGTTTGTGAGCCCATGGTTTAAAACCGATTGCTTCACTGATACCCATGGTACTGGTACAGGTAATTCCTTGGCAGTGACACTGTGTCCTAATTTCGTTTGCCAGTCTTGTTGCTCAACTGTGTTTTGACCTCCAATTTAATAGTGTAACTGCATGGATTTAAGTTCATTCTGGTCTGATCACATTACACTAACCTTAAAACAAATGATCTAATAGTTGGTGCCGGAGCCTTGAAAAAAAAAAAAAACCTGGGACAGACACATGATGCACATGTTTAGCAGCAGTGGATTCTTAAAAAGTGTTGATATTTTCAGCTGTTGCCATGCTGTTTGCTATTTGTGTGAATGAAGACATAGTGAAGCTGCACGGTGTGTTTTTTCTGGCTGGTATGTGTGACCTTGGTCAGGTGCTGCCTCTGGACAACTCTTCCAGCACTAATGTCTTGCTGGTTTCAAATATGGAATCTTTGGCTGCCCACCAGTGGGTGCTGTCTCACTTGTGACCTTTTATAGTCGATCACAGTCTGGGCTTCAGGACAATAGTCAGCCTGCACTAGGATTGCAGTGCTTTGCAGTGAATATACAAATAGGGTTCAAATGGAAACTAAGAATGTTCTAATGGTAATGTGTTATTGTTATGTTGAACATATGGGTGTTGGAAGTGTTTAAACAGGTCATAGTCTGACACATTTTGATGTTTTTGTCCATAGGACACAAAGAAACCATTTCTTCAACTAGGAATATAACATGGTTATATTCCTAGTTGAAACTGATATTCTATCATATACATATTTATTCAGTTTTAACGGTTTATTTTGGCTCACATGATGGAAACTGTTGCACTATTGATTGTACAGATAGGATGACACCAGTTCCACATTCCCATTCTTCAGATGCCAGTGGTTTATTTTAGTATTCTGGCACTGAAACCAAATCAGCTCTCATTCATAGTATCAATCAAAAATTGGTTGCTTAAGTTGTTAACAACAAAATCTACTGTAGCACAGCTTGATTTAATGGCATTAAAATTCTTATCAATATTAGTCTTGTTTAATGTATTGCTGGAACCAAATTTCCCAAATAAAATGCAACTTATTTAATTTTTGCATTGCATTCAGTGCACAATATTATTAATGTGTGTAATGTAATGATTATACTGCAAAGATGTGCACAATAGTTTATGTTGGGTGATAATCTGACCCATATGTTTTGGAGTGATGGCAACTCTACTGCCATCTAGCGAAAAAAAAAGATTTACTCTGCTGGAGATCTTGACAAATACAAATACTAAGTCACGTTTTAGTCTCGTCCCCCCGCTGATATATATATTGGCTTGAAATGTCAAATATTTAAATGAAACTAATAAATAATTCTGCTTCTCATCATTTGCTAGAAATAAACGCAAGATACAAGGGCAACATCAATGTAATAAAATGAGAGCATACATTTTAGAGAAAAACTTATAGTGTCATTTGGTTAGTTCTTAAATCTATTCTACTAAAAGATAAAAGGATGAAAGTTAACAGGACAAAAGGATCTACATAAAATCATTCATTTAACTAATAATAAAGAGAAAAAATATTCCCAGTCCCCAGAGGCATTTTGCAGCTTGGTTCTTGAGTTAATTTTAAACACTTAAGGCCAATTCCACCTAGGTTACTCATTTTATAAACTGTGAAACTTTTGTTATAACTTTAACGGGCTTCCTCTGGATACATCTAGAGAAAAACGTTTTTTAAATCGTGCTTTTAATTTGAATAAGTTACCGGAAATGGAAACTAATTGTATTCTAGCCCTCCTTTTAAGTTGAAAATAATAACGCCATGGCAACACAAGTGTCAGGAGACGCTGACTGATAAGGTAAGAACTCTAATGCTAAATGCATTTGTTAATGTTGTGGTTTTTTTAATGCTGTTTTTTCNGGGACGCAGCTTTGTGTGGCGCTCTATTCCAGGAGGTTCGTGAACTTTCTTTTGTGACGTGATAAAGTAGTTTCGTTTTTCCATATGGCTAGTCGTCCTGATCTCTGGGTCAACTTTGTTTTATTGCAATTTTTTCAATTGCAATTGCAACAAGATGGGTGCTGTGCAGGGAAACTGCATTTGTAGTGGGATATATTAAACCACCAGTTTAATTGGGAGATAAATGTAGTTTGTTTGCACTGATAATTCAATGAATACATTTAAACTGTTGTTTTGTTACCATATATCATACGTGTTTACATTTTTGTGTTTGCTCAGTTCATCTGTCTGTCTTGTCTTGACCTGTATTTTCACATCACTGAAGGACTGCACACACAATTGTCATTTACCCAAACAATTCCAGCCCCAAACACCGGCTGATTACTGGTTTCTTTTGGTTCTGCATCTCCATGTCAACTCCAGGAGTCATGGCAGGCCTGTGTGTCTCTGGTGGTTGGAGAATGTCCTGAGGATGGAGAGCTGATAAAGGCTCTGGCCTTGGCTGTGCGGAGACCACAGCGGAAACGTTTCACTGTGTTGACCTGGGACGTTGCCGTTACAAAGGTATTTTATCTGTTTTAATGATGCTTTTAAGCAGCCTATACATACAGCTGCAAAACTGTTTGCCCTAAGCATGGCTGACAGCCTCATCTAGAAAATATATGAATATATTTATTTTAAACCACTATACACATTAATATGTCTATCAGATGTACAAATAGTGTTCTAATTTGAATTTTCTGATCTGTCCAATCTTTTATTTTCTACAGATAAATGAACTGGTATCTCTAAAATCCAAAGGTAAAAACCCAGAAATTCCCATGTACATTGAGGTAAGTCAGCACATTAGCTCAGCCAAGAATAGTTTATCTCCTGTAATTAATCTTAAATAAGTACAAAAGTCCCCGATCTGTAGGTCATAGAGTCTGCTAAAGCACTGCTGGATGCAGGAGAGGTGATTCCCTGCGACCTCACGGCCAAAGTGCTGAAGTTCATGTTGCTTCAGATCAAAGCTGATGATCAGCAGAGGAGGATTACAGAACAAGCACATGTAAGTGTTTCTACACATTATTGTTAATTACTATTGTTAATGATGACGTTTAAAATGTGATGCATTTTATTTCTGTCTACATCTTTTCCAAGGAGACGGAGGAGAACACAAAGACCAACTTGACATCTGCAACAAACAAGGCCCTCGAAAAGAGGGACAAAGGAAAGTCTCAGCCTCCGTCCACTTCAGTCAAGAAATCAAAGCTGAAACGCAGAGATGAGGTCGATCCACCGGTGTTTAAAGGTCAGGTCAAAAGGCTTACACAGCATGAATACCGGCCTAGGACTGTCAAAAATAACACATTAACAGGAGCAATTAATTTGTAAAATTAAGAAGATTACCACATTTAAATGCATAGGTGGAATAACACACACTGTTTTGTGTGTATTATTGTGATTAATCATGACTAATTATGTGATTAATTGTTGAATCCATAGTTATCCGTTGCTTCTCTGATGAAAACATTTAACCATTTCCCCTAATAAGATATGATTTTGTTGATGAGATAAAGGATACTGAATGATCACAAAGTGTGTTTTTTTTTCACTTTATTTACAGATGATGAGCCGGAAGATGGTCCTCAGACCTACGTCCTGATTCTGGGCTTTTACCAGCCCCCTCTTGTTGCGATGCTCAATAATGTTGGCATACATGTCTCTAACATCATCAAATTGCATTCAGATGACATCCAGGTCTACGTTGATGAGCAGAAGCAGCTGTTAGCTGCCAAAGAAAGTGTGCGCCCAAACCACAAAACACCTCCAGCCGTTACCACAGGTGAAGAAATCTCTCTGGGTGGTGTTGTATGCAGACACTCACTTCTTACTGCAGATTCTATGACTTTTTAAAGGTTTTTCAACTATGTAAGAATAGCTTATATTGTTTTATAATGTGTTCACGCTAACAGACCAGTGAACAGCAGACCAGTAGCCATTTTAATGACATTTTATTGAAATCAACTGCTGTACCTAAATTATTTTGTTGTACTCATCATTTATTTAGTCCCAGAGATCAGTAAGGAGCAGTTGGCTGCACAGGCCCAGGCCATGGAGACTTTTTGGTCAAGTCTGATGCCACTTTTGGAAAGTGCACCAGCAGGGTCAAAGCTCAATGATGTGGTTGTGCTCAGCTGCGCTGTCCCAGATCTGCAGCCTTTCTACCTGTACGAGCCCGAATCTGTGGTAAGATGATCAAATCTGTGTGAAATTCTTCTTCTTCTTTTGTTCTCCCAATCTCTTATTTATATTTTTATTTTTGTATTATTTTTATGTGCACGCAGCTGGAGCTGGGAAGCCTTATTTTTGACAGCATGGCGCGTCTGATTTATCAGTGTTTAGAATGGCATAAGCAGCATCAGTACTACCTAAGCTGCACCAAGCTCTGTGTAAGTAATGATACTTCATCAAACAAACAATTTCATTTTTGTTAATTATTTTCTTGGATGAGTTGGATTGGATGTGCCTCTGTTATCTTCTGAAGTAATGGATCAATACTGGATGCCATTTTCTTGGATGAGTTGGATTGGATGTTATCTTTTGAAGTAATGGATCAATACTGGATGCAAATACACCTTAGTCTAATAGAGAGATGGATTGCAGGCGATGGTTTTTCAAACCATTGACCTCTGGGTTATGCACTCTGCTCAGCTTGTTCAATAGCTTTATACTTAAACCCAGTTCTGCGTAACCAGAAATACTGTAGTTAATTGTTTCTGTGCTTAGTTTCCGTCTGGAGATTAATATTTGTTTTTCCGTTAAATTATCTTTAAAATATACACGCCTCGATTTATTAAAGTGCATATTTCATCATTCCTTTTTTAAACTAAAATTTAAAGAAAGCCTTAGATAAAGTAGTATAGAGCAGTAATAATAATTAAGATCTCATCCTTATTCTCAATTAATATGCCATGAATAATTTGAATCAAACTTTCATGGATTCAACTGCTGGATTTGTGGTTTTGTCCTGTTTTCAGTGCTTGTCCCTCTGCTGTTGTGTGGTTTTTCTTTTACCAGGTTATTCAGCTTATACCTCTACAGCCTAAGAAGAAGGTAGTCCTAGAGTCAAGCACCCAAGATGGTAAGACACTTCTACACCCTTGACTATCTGTTTCTTCTGTGTTTATATTTCGCCAACAAAGGACTGGATGACTGCATTTTCCTTCTAACCCTCACCTCACTTCCTTTGTTTACAGATGCAGACATGCGTTACTACAGCAACCTCCTGGACCTGGTTCCTCCTGAAGCTTGCTCTGTGCCTCTTATTTTGGACTGTATGCTTCAGCAGGTACTGTATCGTTCCTCTTAGGGTTAATGGTCTGACCGAGGCGTAAAAGCTTGAAGCTTTGAATTGTATGTAAGGACAGCACTCCTGAAAAGTGAATGGACAATTTATTCCAATCTAGTTTTCAAGTAAATATAATGGATAATTTCATTTAGTCAACTGTCATTTCCAAATCTACTAATATCTTTCTTTTATTCATATCCTGACCAAAGGTTAATAAGGTTAGGATTAACATATTTTCTCTAGGTTCATAGAACCTACTCAAGTACTAAAAATGATAATGAAATGTCACATGACATTTGTCCTCAATTACGCTCCTTACTTTTCAGAGTCAGACAAGTACAGTCTCTTTTGTCCACAGGTTGTGATTACTTTAGACCCAGATACCGCACCTCTGGTTGCACCTAAGAAGCCCAAACCTGGTCCTTGGTTGGATTCCGACCTGGCTGCGTTCATGCTGGAGAGCTTCCTGCCTTTGGTGCACACAGAGGAGCAGAGACAAGAAATGTTCAACAACTTACTGACAACAGTAGAGAGTGACGACGACAAGAAGGTAGTGTCACTCAGCTGTGATGGCAGATCCTCAAGAAAATGAAAAAGAAAATGAGAGGGGAAAAAAATTAAAAGCTTGAGAAAATTTTGCTAAAATTATTTTCTTCATGAGTTTAAGTTCTTGTATATGATTCCAGTAAATTACTGAGTTAGGCTATTATTATTATTACTAATGGATAGAAAAGTCAAAGGCACTTTTTTAAATTTTTCAGCATGTCTAGGCCTTAGACCTTGTTATACATCAACATATTTTATGATGAAAGTGGTCAATGGGTTAAGACAAAAGTCCAAACAATATCTTAGATATATCATTTTTTTAAAACTTTTTTTTATTAACAATGCACATTCCCTGACATAGGACCTTTTCAAGCAATAGGTATACAATTTTAATACAATATTTTGTGAATCCTTATCCAGTTATCTGTAAAATTAAAGACATAATTATAACTTGGCCATAAGAACGTGAATTGGTTGTTAGACCAGCAGGGGGTGCTACATTATCAAGCTTTTCATTGTCAACACCTTTTTTTTTCTTCTGACAAATTCCAGGAGTAAATTGCAATTTAAGTAAATCTCATTCACAGACAGATCTTCTAACATAGTAGTTAATAGTTAACATAACAATACATTCACATAAAATATATTTATTATTTGTCTGTGTTATTATTTTTCTTTTCAACTGTTTTAGGGACTGGAGGAGCAGTTTGGAGAAGAAAAGACCCAGAAGACGTCTGATCAGCTGTTAGTCCTCAGACACCAGGACGAGCGGGGGCTGCGGCTCAGGGACACCACTGTAAGAAGATACTACACTGTACTACACTCCAATGTTGAGAGCCTTGGTTCAACTGTACACTGTATCACATGTCTTTTTGAAAGGCTGTAAAGGGTTTTGATCCAGCAGAGGTGGAGAGGTCCATGATGGAGCTATCTCCAGTTTGGGAGTTGATCCAGTCTGTGGCTTATCAGGAAAATAACAGCTGCCATTGGTTGGCGGTCAAACAGCAGCTGCAACATTTCTGCACTGACGGTCAGAGTGAGAAACTTATTTTCATCTTTATACAGGCCCTCATAATATTGTGGACTTTTTAGTTCAGTTCACTACAACACAGTGTTCTGGTTGGTGGATCACTAGCCCTTCATATTTGTGATGTTCTGCAGACACTCTGTCATGGACCAACCTGGAGCGTCTGTTTCATCAAAGTGTGTTTGAGGCGATGCCACTGACCAGGCTGGACGAGAAAGGAGAGCTTTTGCCTGCTGCAGGGAAACTGGGTATAGTGGAACCAGCATCTGTACCCATAATCCCTTGGGACAACCCTGTGGCCTATGCTCTACAGCAGCTACACAAGCAACAGAATAAAGGTTTGTTAATTTGGTATGACAATTGCCTTAAATGGTTTTGAATGAAAACACGACTTATCCTGATCCTTTAACACTATTTTGATATTTATTTGAACTATAGGTCCAGCATTTCTCACTGAAGAACCCAACAAGGCAGAGGTATTTTACTGTCTTATTTGTTTGTTTGTTTTTAATGGAATAAATGTTCCAATGAATGAATATGTATATAACATATAAAAAAATCAATAAAAACAATTGCCTCCATGGCAAAATTAAATTTCTATTGACGTCTAGCTTGGGCCGGATGGGCTAGAAGTTTCCCCCGCACCAGGAGTTTCAGATCCATTCTCTATTGTCTTCTAATGTTATAAGTTTTAACATTCCAGCAGCCCAGTACCAGAACACGTTGCCGTGTGAAGTTGTCAGAGATTCAGAACTGCAGACTGAGATCTCTGTTTGAATGGCACAGTACAGAGCACCACGATGCGTCTGTCTTTCCACAGGTAAGTTCCTTCTTCTTTCACAGAAAAATTGAAATTGAATTGAATTGTCTATAAATGTATTCTAAGTTAATTTTCCACTCAAAATGACTTGCAGATTTGACATTTCACAGAGGGTCAAGCTGCAATGTCAATAATTGCACAGTTTTAATGTAAACTATGCAAATATTTCCGATTGTAAAAAAAGGTATTTTTGAAATTAAATTAGTTTTTTACCTTCCATTTTGACACATGCTTCTAAATTCCTTTAAGGTTCTTCAGGCTGCCTCAGAAGAATACCGCTGTGTGGACACCTTCAGGGGAAGCCTTCACAACATTCTGTACATTTTTTGTCACAATCCCAAAAGTCTGAAGAACCAGTGCCGAGAGTTCTGGGATATGGCACTGCACACTGATGTGAAGTTCAGGTCAGATTTCTGGTCTTACTGTTGGATATACATTTTGTGTAAGATGACAAATAAATAAATAATTCTTTCTTTTTGATAGAAATTATCTGCAGTACGTTTCTGACAACATTTCGGATTGGACAAAGAAAGAAGAAGAGAAGAAAAAGGCCTTAAAACTTCTCCTTGCTGCTGCAAGAGGTTTTTTTTTATGTCAATTCAAGACTGCAATTGATATCTGATTTGGATTGTACAAAATACTAAAATCTATTTGCTTTCTCGATAAACAAGATGAAACTGATTCGAATGATGAGGATGATGAAGATGAAGATGGACAGGAACCTTTCTACAGAAAAGAATCTCTAAAAGTTAGTAATAAAAGAAGCATAATTATGTATATATTGACTATAATATATAAATATAAATATAAATATGAATCGATTAATTTGGAAGATACAATATTCATCATTAAATTACAGTAAATTAAAATCAGCTTGCTATTTATGCACATATTATTCTGTTTAAGAAAACCTAATGTTTATGATCCATTCAATGAAGTGAGGCGTCTATGAGTATGCACAGTTTGGATATTTATCCTTTTCCTTTACATTTTTGTATGTGTTTATGTGTGTTTGTGTGCTTGACTTAGGCCTGGAAAATGGAGCAAGATCGTCTGAAGGAGGAAGGGATGGATAAGAAGGCTAAAGACAGAGCTCAGAAAGCCAAGAAGCAGAAGGAGGAAGGCACTCAGCAGAAGACCACTGCAGAGAAAAGTAAGGCTGGGACGAAGAGCAAGATGGAAAAAGACCAGAAGGAAGACGCTGAGTCCGCAAAGGAGATCACTACAGCTACTACCGCCGCTGCTGCGCCCTCTGTTGATAAAATGAAGGAACTGCTTAAGCCTGAGGTGAGAGCTCAGTCATTGTTTCTATTTGTACTAAATACTGCCAGTAGATAGTTGGCGTTTGACTGGTTATGTGTGTGTATTAATACTGGATTATGTGTGTTGGAAATGTACAGGGGTTTATAGGTTACTCCATGAATGGGAGGTTGATTCAGGTGTCAGGTCAACTGCAGTACCTGTTCCCCTCAGATGGAGGACACATCACTGTGGAGAATATTAACTATATTAAAGGTATGGTCTGAACTATTTCTAACACTTTTCTGCTCTTCCTGTGGCCATGTTTCTGCAGAACACAGTTTAAAGTTATCGTCACGAGGTCGAGGAGTCCTTTGGATAATTCTTCACATGCTCACTCTGGCTTTTCTGATGTTTTCATCACAGGTTCCAGTCTAGTGAAAGTAGCTTTGAGGAAGGACGGACATTGTATCTACACACACATCAGCAAAACTCTCAATCGTCCTTCATCTCAGCCCATCCGTTGCAAAGAAAAATATGAGGGTAAGATAAACCAGTGGGTGACGATAAGTTGTAAATTCTCTTCATCGAACCATACAATTTTTGTTTTTAGTTTTCCATATCATTACATAACATAGACTTGTGATTGATCTTGTGTTTACCTCTGTTTTGTTAGAACCTGAAAAGCAGAAGGTGGGCTCGATGTCAGCAGTGCTGAATAATGGAATTCACCTCTCTTACAGTTTTTACGGTCCCACAGGAGAATATAAGGGTACTGAACTGCTTTATAATTATTATAGTGCAATTTATATAAAAGACACTACATTTTCTGAATGTACTTTTTTATTTAACATCAAATACCAAAGAAAAGATGGTTGAAGAAGTGGCTCTCAGCTCTATTGAGTTTGAGTGCCGTGGTATATGGAACATTTCTGTTGCAGCACAAAGATTACAGTTGTTAACATTTGTGAATAGGAGATGGTTTTGGAACTAAGGAGAAATTGTCATCATGTTTTTGTTCATATTTGGTGGCGCCGCAGTGACTACCCAGGAAGTTGACGTTGAAGAAAAACAAGAAGGGATCGTCAACGACACTGTGAAGAAACCGTCGCCCAATTGCACAGAATCCGACCCTCCTGACGTTTGTGATGCAATACTGAATCATATACAATACAAAATATTCAAGAGAGTAACTTGATTTTATGTCATCTTTGGATGTAGAAATCTGTGTAAACCATGCATTTGTTTGCAGGCTGAAGCGAGTAATGAGCAGCCGACGCCTGAACCCAGTCCATTTAACAGTCTGCACTTGTCTCTTCCGAATGGCCTCCTGCTGCAGTTTCTGAGAGAAAAGGCTGAAGGTCACTGATTCATTCATTGAGAATCTAAAAGAGCTGTGTGTTTCCCCCATACAAAGTAGTTGTTTAAAGAGAGTTGGATATGAATTTATACAGTGTGCTTCTGGAATCAATGAAATATCACTGTGTCATAGAACTCATCAGCAGGGACAATGTGACTCTGTTGATGCCGTCACACTGCTCACACTGACATTTAAATTATGAACCTCCCATTCTATATTGTTTAGTAAATATTTAATATATACTTTTATTTGTCCAGGAGTCCCTTTACATGATCAAGGTGTCCAGGTGAGACAAAGCTTTCCCCTTCACAGTACAGGGGAAATAAGGCACCTTCCTGACCCGACACTTTCCAAAGAAATGTCCCGTTTGATCACCAGCCAGGGAAATGTGGTCCGTTTCATGAGAGACAAGTCTATTGAGGTTCATGTACATTACTTACACACTTGTGATCAATGGCATAAAATGAGTAGAACAGGAGAGAAGTTCTTCAGCTGCCACTGACACAAACATGGTACCTTTCAGGTTCTGTTTCCTAATGGGACAGTTACTTCAAACTACAATAAGAATGAGGATTATGATGATGATGATGGTGGTGGTGAGTACAATGTGAAAAGTCACCCTGCACCTTAAAGTGGTCATAATTTGAAATGACGTGCTTTGTCAGGTAACGTTTTAATCATTTTGTTTGACTTCAGATGAGAAATCAGACCCTGATCAAAGATGGCTCACAACGACTCCCTCTGGAGGTCGCTTCTACACCATAGGAGAAAGGAGCAGACAAACCACTCCACTTCTCATCTACAAGAACACAGACCCTGTAACCCATGAGGTAAGAATGCAGTATCTCTCCTAATGGTACATACAGCTAAAGACCAAAATATTTTACCCCCGGCCTTTGCAAGACTCTAGTGCAGGCATTGGGCAAACTACCACCCGGGGACCAGATGTGGCCTGTTTGATTTTTTAATGTGGCCCACTAAACTTGTCCAAATTGTATTATTATTTTATATCATCATTATATTCTGCCTTTTTCCTGCAATGCCCGCATTTCCTCATTAAAAGGCCAAAATCATTTTAGCATTTACCCTTTATGCATGACTTTTACATGTCATTTTTCTTAGTTTATACGAATGCTGCATCTATCTACTCCTGACCCGGCCCCTATGTCATATTTTAGGACTCACTGTTGTCCGCGAGTCAAAAAGTTTACCAACACTTGCTCTAGTGACTGGGCTTAACCATGAGACTGAGCAACATCAGTCACGACTGTCTTGATAGATTTCGAGTGTCTTTTTTATTTTAATCAAACTATTTTTGGGCAATCTTGATTTAAACTTTTAGTATTTGGCATACTTCTGACTCTTACTTCTGACTTGTCGCATTGCACCAGGTGATGGTGAGCCGGGAAGATTTTGTGGTTTCTGTCCAAAAGAAGGATGGATCTGTAAGTGCGGAACACGCAGATGGAACAAGAATTACTTGTGTCTATCAGGAAAAACCGAAAAGACAAGGTGGCCAAATTTATCCAATTTTGGGTTTCATAAAATTACAGTTGACTAAAACAGTTGTAAAGATGATATACTTTGGCTGTCTTTGTTTCTTTGTAGTGATGCAGCAGGATAAGGTTAGTGCAGTTAATGCATCAACAAAAAGTGAATGTAGCAGTGGACAGGACAGTGTCGAGGAGAAAGAGCAGACTCAGGACGGCGGTGACGATGAAGAGGAAGCAGACAAAGCGAACGGCGACGAGGATTTTTGTTCTTCATTAAAAACGACTGATGATTTTACAGAGGAAAAAGAGTGTGATGAAAATGAGTTGGGTCACGATGAAGAGGAGAAGAAAGTCGTCACAGAAGAGACTGTGACTAGGAAAAGTCCAGGTGAAAGAAAAAAAAGGAAAGCGAGAGAGCGGGTGGTGATGGTGGAGAAAGAGGGCTGTGCCACTGTGGTGATGTATCCAGAGCGACACATGGCTCGTGTCTTTTTCGCTGATGGAACTGTCATCACTGGGAACAACCAAGGAGTCTATCAGGTAAACAGGGGAAGTTGTTGTTTTCATCCATAAAGTACAAACAAAGCCTTTTACTCTACGACAGTATACTGCAGTTTCAGCCATTTTGTGAGATACGAAGGACAAATCCTACAATGGACTGCAGAATTCTTTATTATTTGCTTACCTGCTTTCTTTGTGTTTTGATTTCTACACATCCAAGGTGTTTCCACCCAATTGGGGTTTGCTGCAGATCCAAAGTGATGGGAAGTGTGTGTACTCCAGCGATACAGTTGTGACTTCCCCTTCAGAGACAGGTTCTCCCACAAACCAACCAGGGATGTACACCATGAGTCATGTGGAAAAGGTGGTGTGTAATGTGACCGACCCAGAAGGAAACAACTTTCAGGTCAGTTCAGGTTCAGTTTATAGTAAGTTTCAAAAATGTGTGAGAATGTCAAAAAAAAACAACCAAAAAACTAAGTTCACAGGGGAAATGCTTATGGAGCAGAAATAAGTTGACAGAGTTCAACGTGTGAGTGCAGTGAAGACGTTGGTCCTTTCTGAATATTCACATTTATTTACATTATATTCTTAAAATCCCATTCAAAACTGACAGTTTTGATATTGCCATTATTAGACTACATAATAATGTTATATTATTATCAGATTATTAAGATTAATTAAGATATGTTAGATTTAGTTGCACATTTGGCTAAAATATCTTTTTTTTGTTTCTTTCATGTATTTTTAAAGTGCTAAGCAAAATATGATACGTAGTTTCCAAACATCACGTTGACATTGATTTGTGGTCATCCAATACTGACACTGCAACCCAACTGTTTGTAGGTGATGGAGGATGGGCAGATATCAGTGAGTAAAGTTAGCCCTCGTCTGAATACTATTGACGAGGAGGGCAATGACGAAGCAACACAGGACGGGGGGCAGGATGGAAAATCAGCTACGCTTCATACAAGGACCAGGGAACCCAATCCCAGGTGAACTTTTTCAATGATATTTTACTGTACATGCTGTCGATCCATAAAATGTTGTTGTTTGACTAAACAGTGTAGGAATGATCATATTTTCCTCAGGCTGTTCATGGTACATGAGGACGGTTCAGGGACTGAACTGCTGAGCTGTCAGGCTGTAGAAGAGCTGATCTACCAGGCGTACGGTGACCCTGCCACAGCAGTTCTGAAGGAGCCACTGCCAGACACAGATGGTCAGCTATAGTCACGCTATTTTAAAGTGACCCGCGCTGTACCTAAGACTATTATATTCTTAAATGAACATTGTCCTTTTTCCTGCCCGTGACTGTTTCAGATGAATTTGGTATCACCATCCTCAAGCCTGGTTTTCAGAGCTTGTGGTCTCAGTGGATGCTGAAGAAACAGACCCCAGAAATAACCCCTCCCAACCTGACAAACCGTAGCTGGCGTGAATTCCCTAGCACAGAGGTATTAGCAAACACAAACACATTTTACACAGACACACAGACAAATCACACAGTAAATCATTCGCTTTTGCCTTAAAATCTTTCCTCACCTATTCAAGAAAAAGCCTTCCGGTCCGCCATTTGGCACTAGTGTTGGACGTGGTCTGAGTGTGGGAGAACAGCCTCAGGGCTTTGCAGCAAATCAACAGCCTGTCAGGAGCCCTAAAGTCCTAGAAATGAGGAAATTGTACCAACACAGACCATTCAGGATGCAGCTGAAAAACACAGTGGACAAACGACTGCAGGTACATTTAAGCTCTCGCCCAAAAAGGTTCAGTGAGGTGACAATTTATATATAACGTTGCAGTAAAATGTGTTTCTTGCATGCTTACGTGTGTTCATATGTTTTTGCTGACATTATTGTAGGGGTACATAGAGAGCTTGATGGAGAGGGAGCAGCAGTCACAGGAGATGAAACTTAAGGAGCCTCGAACTCAGGAAGAGAGTGTACAGGCTGCTGACCTCCTCAACCTAGTCTTGGTCAGCACACACATTCAGTACAGTAGAGTACATGTGAGTGTTTACATACTCACACAGTACATTAATTGACTGTGTACTTTCCAGACCTTAGCAGAAAAAGAAGAAGCCCCTCCCACCTTTACCAGGAGGAATTCAGGTATGATTTGGTTTGAATGTCAGAAAGTAAACAGATTACATTAATGTTTTCTTTCTCCTGTCTTTTCTTTTTCCATTTTCAAGCACGAATTACAACTTGTCTACAGCTCTGCAGCAGGTAATAATTTAAATAGTTTTTCCGCAGTGAGATTTCATGTTATTCTTGTGTCTCCACAGTGGACATTGGGACTTTGTACTACCAGGGTATTAGAGCCCAAAATGAGCAGTCAGATGTTTTAGGAAGTGCATCAAATCTTATAAATGTCAGGTAAGAAATTGAATAATATTGTTTGGGGTGTTACAGTTTAGCTGCTTAAATGTCTAATTCCTAATTACAATAACATTTTTCTTTTTCTTATTCAGCCTGTGGCCTGGAAAACTCACACATTACAGGTAATGTTTGACACTGCCAAAATATGCTACAAGCAACTATAAAGGTTTAATTAAAAAAGAAAAAAAAGTGACATGCTGAGTTATGTTCTCATGAAAAAATATCTCTGTCTCCATGTCTAAATTTCAGGGAGGAGCTTTGTGAGGAGAAGGCCTGCAGAATGGCTCTGAGGAATAACACAATTGTTCCCTACTTTCACCCAGAAAATGTTTTGTTATACCAGGACATGTTACAGAGTGAGACGGCAAACATAAGGAGTGAATCTCAGATCCTCTCACCAAGGTCCAGATCAGACGCTACGAAAGATGCAGAACGAGAGAAAAGTAGGTCACTAGGAGTTGAGAGTCCCTTCAGAGAAGCTGGAGTTAAAGCAAACGGTAATTTTATCACTTTTTACAAAGTGTATTTGTGGTTTTCCTACAGCTCCACGGCCCTTGAATCCTACACCGTCTCAGTCAGCCAGGTGAGATTGAAAATTTGGGTTAGTCTTTGTACATCTTTTTAACCCCATGAAAAATATTATTGTATTTTTGGAGTCCATATTGTATTCACCAATAGACCATCACTCATAGGGGGCTACCATGAGCAAAATCAAATTTAAAAACAGTTAACAGATCACCTCCTCTCTAAATGGTCTCACTGTGATACGACACAACATGAAATTATTTTAAAAATCTCCCTTACATTTAAGTTCCTCTTTGGTATTATTAGCATGTAATTATTTGGGTTACATTTCCTGATGGCATCACCCCATCACATTCCTAGTGACTCATTAAAATGAACAAAACTAATATGATGTAAGATTCTTCATCTTTAATTAAACCAATGCAAACTGACTTCTAATTAGTAGCAATGCCTGACAAAGCAAGTCTTTGTGTTGATATTACTAAAAAACAAAATGTCTAACTGGTATATGATGTGTTTTCTTTTTTAGTTTTGTAGCAAGACTTGATGGAATGCCTGACAACAGACCCACCAACCCCACACCGCAGTCTGCTGGTCTGATTCTTTTTTTAAATTTGGCTGCTATATTCAGATGTCCAGTCTTTGACCTTGAGAATATCAGACGCTGTGTCTATCATAAATATTATCAATTAACAACTATATTTGATGTTCTTAGGACATGGCCCACCAGGCTAAATACTTTGTCACTTCATATTATGTTATTACGTTGTAAATACATTTGCTGTTCAGTTTTGTGGATGCTGGTCCTGAGCGCCAAGGTTGAGAATGAGTCACACTGTGTTCTTCAGGTTGGTTGTCTTAATAAAACATATGAATGAGTGACTGTGTCCTTGTGTGTGTGTGTGTGTGTGTCAGGTGAAAGCAGTCTGAGAGTCTCGTCTGGGCCATACAAGTCAGTGCAGGTGGACGTGACAGGAAAGCCTAGGAAGACCAAAGTCAGACTTCCCAAATCCATTCTCAGCTCTAAACCCTGCAGTGTACCAAATCTACAGGTACACAGAAAAACACATGGTTGTAAAGAAATATGTCAGTTGTAGTGATTGAGCACATTGTAGACATGAAACATTTACTTATATTATATACAGAATGGTTTTAAAATGGCTTGAGTTTGAAAGTTATCATGTCATCAAGGTTGTTTATTCCAAAAAAATTCAGAAGTCACTGAACCAGGTGAATACAACATCCTGTCAGTGACCATTAAAACTGTAGTTCCTTAATACCAGGATTACCCATCAGTCATTTAAAACTGAAGAAGCCTCTTGAACAAGAGGTGAAATATCTTCAAGAAACCAAGCCAGTCCAGTTGACAGTTCTGAATATTTTTGGTTATTTCAAACCTCTTTATACAGCCAATTTCACACCGTTCACTCGTGTGTTCTATACCTCCTTGCTTGTTTGCAGTACCTCTCGGTGGAAGAGCCAGTGAGGAGAAGGTGTCGAGTGATTTCTCTGTCTGACCCAGATGTGGTAATAAGAGGATTTCAACTCCTTCCAGCCAATGTTGACTTTGGTACAGTGAGAGAGGGCACCTCCTCCACCGTCACCGTGCTATTAAAGAACGTCGGTGTTGACACCTGCAGGTATGGATAATGATCCACCTACAGTACTGCTCACAAGGATCTGGGAGCTGCATCAGTTGTAGTTTATTATTTGTCTCTTCTTCTTTGCCAGATTCCAAGTGAAACAACCTCGTCCTGCTACAGGTCTTCGTGTCTTGTACAACCATGGAGCTGTACGTTTTCCTGCTACGTCTTCAGATTCCCCCGAGTGGGTATTTTCCTCTCTTACCTATTTTATTTTTCTGACCAGGTTCCTGCTGGTTTGCATGTCGATCTGCACATTGAGCTGTTTGCCATGTGCACAGCCGAGGAAGAGGAGGAGGAGCCAAAAAGATGCATTTCTCTGGATATTGTCATCCGCACTGAGACAGACATCCTCTACTTGCCTGTCACTGCAAATATCCTTCAAATAAGGTTTTCATTAAATTAATGGATTGATAAAAAAATGTATATATATAAAGGACAGATATTGTTGTAGATAATAGAGCTTTAACTGTCAGAAACAAGTGAAAACTGTTTTCAAGATGTCTGCCACATAAATCACTCTCAGATCTGAATTCTGAACAGTTCATTTCACATGATTAAAGATGATAGTGATGTCAAATCCTTACTGATTTTCCCTTAACACGTTTCACCCATCCTTTCTGACTCATTGTATGACATATGGCTCAGGGAGCAGGGAAAACCGCAGAAAAAGAAAGGTTCCAGGCCACTTGGTCTGTCTGCCAGTTTACCACCGAGACAAAGAGTTACCTGGGAATTCCCAGCATCACCTGAGTGGAGCTGCAGCACCAAAAGGTCAGTGTCCTATAGTAAAAAAACATAATCTATGACCCTATAAATCTATAAGATTTTAGTTTTTGACCTGAGATTTTGACAATATTTTATGTTACTGTCTGTAAATTGCAGGAAAGCATGATGCTGTCATCTGTGATTCAGGAGTTGGAAACCCTCAGGTATGCTACAGATTACCAGGTGTCATCGGTTATTAGTAATCTAATGGATTATTGCAGTGAGATTATGCATTCACTGTAGGTAAACTTTTTACAACTGAAACACAACTGAACAAAGCTATAAATAGGAAAAGCAATTTTATTCACCCTTACCAGTGCTGAGAAGTTGTGATTGCTCAATGTTCACATCGCTTTCTCGCTAATTATTGTCTCTGTTGCCGACCAACTGCTTTTCGTTGATCCAAATCAGTAGCAAATTTCCCATTTCTTCTAAACTTTAGTGACATCCCGTTCCTAATCATATTGGTTTAATATGACATTGTTCCACCCTTCACAACTGTAACAGCTTTAACTTTGCTGGGAAGCCTTTTATGAGTGTGTTTATGGGACTTTTTGACCATTCTTTCAGAAGCGTATTTATGAGGTCACACACTGATGTTGGACAGGAAGGCCTGGCTCTCAGTCTCCACTATAATTCATCCATAAGATGTTCTTCCAGGTTCAGATCAGGACTGTGTGCAGGCCAGTCAAGTTTATCCACACCAGACTCTCTCTTCAATGTAATAATAGAACCTGTCATATTGGAACAGGGGTCGACCGGTTCTTTTGCAAATGTTCGCCTGCATGAATAGGTGCTTGCTTTCTACACCTTTTATACACCTGTGGTCATGGAAGTAATCCAAATAAATGAAATCAAATGTATTTGGATGTTGAGCTAATACTCTTGGCAATATAGTGTACAATACTCACAGGGAAATGTTAGAACAAACTTATTGCAATTTATTTGATATTTATATCCCTATGTGCAACTGGCATGAACGTAAAACTAGTTTTCCCTTTAAAATTAATTGAAAATGTACTTTTTATTGTAAAATATATAACTTCTTTGTTTAATAAACTAGTAAGTCTTTGCTTTGTCAATCTTATTTTCAGATAAAGTTGTCAAGGTTTATAAGTAAATAAAGTTATAAATAAATATTTGTTATAAAATATCATTTCAAACTATATTTGATTTGATTATTTCTGTACTTCTGTAGGTAATACTGTTTTTTGTTCAGTATGCTATAGACAATGTTTTCTCTCTAGGGTCAATTGGTTTAAAATTATTCTAAATTTTATTATTAAAGTCCACTAGGGTGCACTATTTGACATTCATAGGTTACACTAACTGATGATACTATTTAGACAGAGAAAGACATGCATAACATGTAATTTATAACATTACTATGCACATTTCACACAAAGAAATGGCCGGTGTGTCTTTCACTCTATATTTCATGCACCAGTATCATTCCATTCATATTTTTTAATATCGAAAATTGTAAATAGTATTAACATTCCCTTTAATCTGGAGCAGCTGTGGGTGTCTACAGCATGAGTGGGGACACGCGTCTGTCCTTGTGCTCAGGTAAACGGGGGTGGGGGCTGTTGGGGAATGACGTCACTGGAGTACCCAGCACGAGGTGCACGTAACGGTTACAAACCGAATTAAAACGGTACTTTAACTGTCGTCTACCCTTCTTTTCTCCTGTTGTTTATTTCACGACGTGGTTACACAGTAAACGCGTTCAGTGAAGAAGCGTCTCTTCATTAGTGCAGCTGTGTCGGTCACGCGCGCTCACGTGTGCAGACGCACGTCCGTTGGTTCGTTGCTCCAGAATCATGAGAAGGAGCATCAGCGAAGGAAGTGGAGGAAACGTCTGACAGGAGCTACGGACTTGGACGCTGGTCTCCTTCAGTCACGTCTTGTCTGGACTTGGAGGAGCAAAGGATGGAGCAGCAGCAGTAAGCGGAGACAGGGGAGGAGGAGGAGGAGGCAAGGTGTCACCGAGAAGTCCGGAGTAGATGATGTTCGTTTGCCGCAGGCCCCACCATCGTGAAATCGGATACGGAGCTGCAGCGGATGGGGTGACCGAGCTTGCTGCTCCGCCGGGGAGGTCGCTGCCTTCGAACGGTACTGGGATGGAAGCCGCCTGCTTCTAAGGAAGGGAAGGAAGGAGTGGCAAGAGGAGAAAATGCAGACGGAGGAGGAGACGGCCGCCGCACAAGAGCCCATTTTGGAGGAAGGGTCAGGGCGAGAGCAGGTAAAGAAGGACATTTGTTTTAAAAATCCACGTCACGAGTGTTTGTTTAGCTTTGACAGAGCGCGCCCAAATGGCGTAAAGTTGCGCATATTTGTTCCCTCAAGACGCTCGTTCTATTTTGATGTCACTGTTATGTAGTTTGTACACCACACGCCACTGAGTATTCTGTATTCTCTGTTGACTCATTGCCATTCATGGAGGTGACAAATCATTGCTAAAACAAACAAACAAAATACACGTTTTGTTTCCAGTCCCTCATGCCTGTTAGGAGCAAGGGCATTGAGCCTGGCTCTGAATGGTGATGAGGCAGCGTGTGTGTTCTGTAGGTAAACACAAATTACGGCATGTGTGTGCGCGCGTGCGTGCGTATTTTGTAGTGAAAGTCGTGTTGATGTGACACGTCTGGCAACGCTGTGTGTGATGTGTTACTCCAGGGAAGGATGCAGTAGTCGACAGTAGAGCGTGTCCATCTGCCTGCTGTCACTACTGAAATACACTAGTGGAGAAAGGTGCCATCACAGCCTCGGAGTCAGGGTTGTGGCCAAAGGCACTTGTACATATGATGAGAATAATGCTGAGATAAATAAGACAACAGAATCTGACCTTGTGTGTGTGTCTGTAACCTCCTAAAACACACATACACACACATACCTGTATGAAAAACATTTCCTGTTATCAGTTTATCAGCAGCCACCCAGTCTCGTTCTCCTATACTACTGTTAGCAGCGTGATTTATCACACCCTCTCCTATTCATCCTAAGGCCAAGATAAATATAGTACAGTATGTGTGACAAAACATTTATAAGATGGTGGCCAAGAACAAAAATATAGACACAAATACTTTAACTTCCAGGCATTCCTTCCTATCAGATTTCTTTCTCTGCACAAATTTAATATGAAATAGGCTCACGTGTGGATGTATTTTTCCGATGACCTCAGTAATTGACAATATTATTCTAGGCATCAAGAGGTTACTATTAAGACTAATGGACATGGCTCTCAACTCGCATAGTGCTCCACTGGTTTGCACAGTATCTCCTGTGTACTTTTTGAATAAAAAACATACGTTTAAATTGTGCTTTATTGTACTCTGTCTGAAAGGTCAAAACGTTTCCATAAGAGTTTATGGTTCTTGGGGCTTGTTTTAGGTGAACAACAGGACATGTTGTCCTTTCAGTAAATTATAATGCATTTAAAAGAAATATTGCATGAAAAAAGATTTAGTATATAAATAGCTGTTCCTAATGCTGCATTCGGGCTCTTATTGTGTTGTTCTTACTGGGTGTTTCCATTCATTAGTATGGGCTTTTTTCCTACATGCTTCACTTGTTCTGCTTCCTTTTGTAATTCATTGTCATTTATAAAAGTGACTTGTATTAGACCTAATCTGAATATTGAATTCATTTTGTTGCCAAAAATGTTTACAAATTATTGGTAATCAGCGTAATATCAAATGTCTGCCTATGTCTATTTTTATATATACGGTCTATAAAGACTGACATTTGATCCAAAATGACAGTTGACCTCTTTACCCACTTATACATATTATTATATTTACACATATTAGCCATCCTCATAAACATTGTTGCTTATTCCTTATACGAAAATTGTTCGTTCTGAATAGTGGTTGAAATGCAGGTTGTGTAAAGTCCCACAGCTTGTTAAATGGTGCCTTCTCTGTTTACTCTGCCACTCTTTTGTGGTTTTGTCCATACGTACATTGCCGTCAGTGCAATTTCAGGCCATGGAATTAGTCTGCATCTCTTCCCTGACTCCATTACTCTCCTATCTTCCCCACTTGGCCTCCTTCCTGTTTCATAGTTGCCTGTCATGGAATATACTGCATATTTGACCTGCCTCTCTCCAACATTTGCTCTTGCGCGTTTTGCTCAATTGTATTTTTTCCACATTCATAAAGCATGCACTCTTAGTAACAGAGGTTCAAATTCTTGCATATTCTTATTCAATTTCCTTTAGTTTGTCCACAGTATTCTTCCATTGCCATAAGAGACTGTTGCATCATACTAACCTAATTAAATACACTATACCACTGGTTCCATCAGCAAGTAAATATTAGTCAAACTATAACAACATACAGTTCTAGATGGGGAAGGAAAATTTAATTAGGGAAAAATACAAGATAAAAATGAATGACAAATGGAGAAAAATAATTAAAAAAAATTAGTGATTGAAGACGGAACAAAGTTGAGGTGCTCGTTTTAAATATCTGTAACTGTTAATTAAAGAAAAATACCAATTCACTTTAACTATCGATT